TTGTTCATTTGATTTGCACTATTAAAATTGTTCAGTCCGTTCATTCCATTCATCATAAAATTTTGTGGATTCACTCCACCGAGTAGACCAGGTGGTGGATTACCAGCAACGTTTATGGGTGGAGGCATTGGTGTTATTATGTTCTGTCGTTGGGTGAATGGCATTCCCCCTCCAATCGGAAGCTGTGGCATTGTCCCCTCTTCAGGCATCATACCCATCTGCGGCGATTCCATGCCATTCATTATCGGTATGTTATTATAAAACTGTCGTCTAAATGGACCGTTCATGTGTCGGAAACGCCTTTTGTGACGCTTGCGACCATGATGCTCAGGATATTCCTCCGGCTCCTCCATTCGCGACCTCTCATATAAGTAAGAATCGCGAAAATGGTGGCGATGATGGTGAGGGTACCAATAATGCAAATGACGGCGATAAAATGGTGCGTCGTCGTAAAAACTTTCAAAACCACGCCTTTCAGGATAAGAGTGGTATGGATTGTAAAAATGACGACGATGGAAATGTCCGTACGATCTTCGCATGCCAGGATACCAGTGGTGATGGAGATGGTATGGTGGATAATGGTAATGGTGGTAAAAAGATCGTTCTTGTGCAGCCGCTGACGCAGAATGAGAACCTGGGCGTGAGACCACCTGTAAAGAAGCAGGTTTGGCTTTGACTTTTACACCGGCAGAATTTGCGTTTATTTCCAAATCGGCGGATTTATCGTCCACTTGAAAATGTCCCACTTCAGGCCCATTGGATGGTTTTGCTTCGCCGTCCCTTTCAGCATATGAATCAAGATCAGAAGCGCCTCGAGTTTTCACAATTTCCGATCCACTGTTTCCTAAGGCGTCTCGAATTGGTCCTACGGGTACATTTTGAATTTGAGGCACGGTGTGTATTGCTGCTTCGCTTTCTTGAGATGATGATTGCGTTTTCGTTGACAAATTCTCCTTGCGTCCCAGTGCAGAAGCGGCGTTTTGTTCACCTGATGTAGCTGTTGTGACTTGCGTTTCTAATTTCTCAGTGGGGGTCTTAGTTTCATCACCACTGACCTGTTTATTGACATTTTCTTTGATTAATGTTTGAGCTTCCTGTGGACTTGCTTGCTTGCCTACGATAACGGCTTTAGCTACACTATTTCCTAACTGTGATGGAGACCCCGGAAATTTGACAGCGTTCTTGTCGTTAGGAAGACTTCCCATCTTTTTACTCTCGTCAGCGTTATCCTGAACACTTCGCACCTGTGCGTTTTCATCAACTACCGTACTTACTGTTGTCTTGCTTTCCTGAACATTTGCATTGTTTTTCTCTGCAGAACGTCCACTACTATTTACATTATCACTACTTGAATCAGCTTTATCGTTCACGCCATTGTTTTCCGTTTGCAGTTCCCCACTTTCTTCTTGTTTTTTGTGAACATTGTTCTCATTTTCCCTACTCGAAGAATCCTCTCCTTCCTTTAATTCCTCTGATTTTGATTTACTGCTGACGGAGTTTTCCATCGACCCTTGCCGATGATCAGCAACAGAACTGTCAGTGGCTCCATTATCAGAGCCTTTTTTCTCTTCCTCAACTGGGACGCCAATCGATTCGCTTTCTGGCTGGTCGACTTTAGAGCGGACATTCTCTTCAGTGTTTAAGTGCAATAAAGTATCTTTATCCACACCAGAATCTGAAGTCAAAGGCTGTATGGGTGTTTCAATACCCTGTCTCTTTTGAGGCTCTACAGTCAACAGTTGTTCATAACTACTCTTTGGCAACTCGTCCTCGACTTCGGTTGGACTTCGCTTGTCCCTCTCTATATGGTCGCCATTTTTATAGTTTATATTGTCTGGCCAATCTCCTTCATTCAAGCCTCCTAGATTACCTGTTGTATATGTACTCAGAAGATCTTGTTTAGGGTACGGCTTGGCTTGTATTGGCGACAAGTTAAGGTGAAGGAGAAGAGAATGAAATAGTGCTAAAGTCGCCAGAATATTTGGCGGCGACCAGCCAAACATTATGTGGCTTTTTAGTACATTAAAACTTTCCCAAGAAAATGAGCGCGTTCTCTCCAACCATTGTTTTGTTATTACATCACAAGTAGTTTCTATCGCCGGTCTGTGAACAGTAAAAAGATGATATAAGGGGCGCGGAATTTGGATTAAGTCTTCTTATCTCATAAAACCAGATGGAACACCTGTTAGTTTCCAATCAAAAGTATACTTTGTGACAGGTATTCTTGTTACGGCAATCAAAACCTCCCTCTATGAGTGGTGAACTCGCTCTATGAGGTGCACAAAATACTGGTGCCTCTTTAAGTTCAATGGACAGTTAAAGTGTGGGGACTTTACACCAGAAATACACGGTCACAATAACCTATTTTTTTTACTCACATAAATACTTGCAAAGTATCGAAGAAGGAAAACATGATTAAGCATTCTCTGTCCACCAGAGAAGCAGCGTTGCGGTTCACATCACATAACAATGATAATTAAATGTTTTTGATTTGCTTTAAGAACTCTTCGCTGACGGAATATTGGGAATTGATGTATGTGTTCAGATGTTTTAAACATTGAACTCATTTTCATTCTGTAACATGTTCAAGAGGCGATGTTTTGACTACCGCCTGCCTTATGAACAAAATGTTGGTGTCATGTCAAAGGATACAAAATAAGATATAGCTTTCTTTAAATTAAACGCTTCAATGCATTTTCTTCTATTTTCGCGGAAAAGTACGTAAACCACCTTCTAGTCAAGTGCTTGTTTTATTATTTTTTTTATTTTAACGAACCCAAAGTGGACTTAACCGAGAAGCAAACAAATAATTTTACCAGGAAGTAACTGATAAACAAACTGTTGATGCTTTGACCAATAATTGCTCCGATGCAGAAACAATTTAAATTTAGTTTTCAAACGAAATTCTAAAACAAAGCGGACGCAAAGCAGACTTAACCAGGTAACAAACAAATACTATTACCTTGATGTAACAATTAAACAAACTTTTGATCCTTGGATGGGTAATTGCCCCAATGCCGTAAAATGCTTTAAATTTAGTTTCCAAAGGATTTCTTAAACAAAACTATAGCTGAAAGATTTCATTCACAATATTTTATTTTAACTGAAATGCATTTGGATGACAGTTGAAATTTCAGTTCAGGTGACCGGGTACAACTCAGATTTTAGTGCGACAGACCATTAGCCTCAAGAACTTGGTGATGTTCTCATTTCCGTCAAAATTCAGTTTCGTATTTCAACATGCTTCCAATTTAGCATGATTTCTCAAGCGATTTTACCAGGGGGACTTTTTGTATTAATCGGCTTACATTTCAGCACGCGATGTAATTAATTAAGCACCGTTTTACGGGATTGTTGGACGGTTAAACACAATATGTTCGTCAGATAAAATATTCGTCGACTTTTTTTGGATATTGCGTTGTAAGGAGGGGGCTTTAAAGTATTAAACGACCTCTTGTAACTGAGCCCTCACTTTTAAAGCAGATTTCGAAAAGTATTAGTATTGAAAATCTTACTTCATCGCCTCCTCACTACTTGTCTTGCCAAAATTTATTTCCGTTGGAAAGATGATCGTAGCTGCTGATCACGTTTTGTGGTAAACGCTGAGACGCTTTTCTTCAGAAAACAGGCTTTATTTGTCATTATTATTATGTAATGATAGTTTTAGAAGGCCAACTACAGTTGCGAAGATCAAGTGTCTATTGCACTTTGTTGGAATGATAGCTGCTTATTTTTGTAACCGAGGAAAATAGGATGCATTTTTTAGGGCTATGTTTCGGGTCACTGTCAATAGAAAACTGCAGAGAAGTCGGCTTAATTATTTTTACAAAAATTTCTTAACCGTTGCTATCTTCTTCTCTTTTTTCTTTTTTCTAAACTTGCTTCCGATAATGGAAAAGCTACTGGTGGCCGAAAATAAGTCTTACGAAGCTTACCGAACAAATTCTAACAAACAGGCCTTAAGTGAAACCCCTGAAAATGGTCTGCGCTTCGCTAGATTCTTTAATGCATCGATAGTTTCAGTTAAACGACTGAAAACTCGTCAGCGTTCAATACGGGTTGCACTTTTAGGTGAAAAAACTCCAATTCAAAGGAGATACCCAACTCATCACGGGAGAATGTGTAATCTGTTATGTTTCCAAAAGAACTAACTCGATGGAGCTTCTACATATTGTCCCTCAATTGTCTCTCTTCCGCTAGTTCCTTTCCATGCAGCATCAGTTTAAATATCATAGCATTACCGTGCATTGTACTCATTAACCGTTTAACCTATATTATTAGCTTTCTTTACGAATCGGAATGGGACGTGGTGTGTCTGTGCGTATCATGGTTAAATCGATGACAATTTTGAGTTTATTTGCGTTGTTCACTACTCTTCTAATATCCTTCATGAATGGTGTCTGTAGACAGAGGTAAACTATAGGGTTACTCGGTAAATACGACACTTTCACTTCAAAGGAGAAGACTTTTCAACTTCTTGACGAAAAAACACCTGTCTTTATGAGTTGTTCACCTTTCACACCTTATGACTATGTTGACAAAGCGTCGACTTATATCTAATTATAATCACAGACGAAATTAATTTAACTCTTTAAGGGTTCAACCAAAACAAAAGAGTTGTTGACCTTTTTCAACTACCATCAAACAAACGCCGAACCACTTGTTGACCAAAATCTCGATTAGCCGTGTTCAAACTGAGTATGTGACAAAGTTGATTAACGCTGGCTGCATTTTGGGGTTTTTGTAAAATATAATTGGTTACAGAATTCCTCGGAGACTTCTAATTGACTTAAATGCGTTTGCTTGCGTATCAATTGTTTGTTTTGCCGTGTACATTAATATTTTATGAAAGACTGTCGTTTGCCTGTTCAAATTATACAAAACAATTGGAAAGAAAAACCAAGTTCTTGAATAAAATGCGTATTAAAAAATCTCGGGCAAAATGATAATGAGTAGTTTTTGTTATGTGCGTTAAATAGTGACTTAATTTTATTTTTTAGTTAGGTACTTGTTCAGTGCAACCGACCCGCTGTAGGAGGTAACCAAATATGGCAAGGTACCCGCTGGATCTTTATCGCACTAACACAGCCATAACAACTTGAACAAAGCAAAATCAATCTCTCCTGACTTGCCTAGCAGGTGACCTAAATAAGTTATTCATGAAAGTAACCAATTATTTCTCTCTAAGACAAAATAAAAGAAATTAATTGTATTACTTGCATTTTAAGCGTGAAACCTCATTTAAATGAAGAGAAACACCAAAAGGAAATTGGGTTTTAAAGTTCATGGTTAAGTGATAAAATTTATTGGATAACTTTCACAGATTCATTGTGTTTCGTCTTTTAAATGTTTTATTTGACACGTTATTTTCAGTATTACAAAAGAATATTTAATAACTTACGTAAGTGTACTTTTCTCTTATCTGCAACACTAGCGCGGTCTTATCAAGGGTTTAGTTTGGTCTTTCGTGTCTCGCGGAAGACTATGATCAACATGAGACTAAATCGCTTTCTCTTTTTAGCATTTCTGGTCATAACAAGTCTTCTCGTGGTGCACAGTAAACCGCTTGCCCAAGATAATGAAGAGAAAGAGCGTTTGAAAAGAAATGAGCACGAAGAAGACGCACCTGACTCTTCAGGCGAAGAACAAACGAGTAAGGAAGTTGAAAACCCAGCGGGGGATGAACAAAACGAGCCTACAGAAAAAGGGGATGAAAAACAAAATCAACAGAATGAGCAAAAAATAGATCATGAAAATTCTGTTGAGCAAAACGGTGAAGATGCTTCTACAAACGAAGCGGCTGATGAAGCGGAAGAAAACAGCAAAGATGAAAAGAGGAAAGGTTCCAAGAGATGGCTCCACCATGGGTATGCTGGTTATGGAGGGTGGGGTTATCCTGGCTGGGGTGGAATTCATGGATATGGAATTTATCCTGGTGCATTTGGGCCTGGGTATGGTCTGGGCGCTGGATATGGTCTCGGAGCTGGTCTCGGAGCTGGTCTCGGAGCTGGTCTCGGAGCTGGTCTTAGCTGGCCTGGCTACTGGTATAGGTCTAGCGTACCAAAATACGCGAAAACTCAAGGTTCATCCAAAAAGTTTGGTGTCGAGCATCCTTTGGGCTATGGTCTCGGATATTTTGGTGGTTATGGTGGTTATGGCGGTTATGGTATTTATGGCGGTCTTGCCGGCCCGTGGAGTGGATACTATGGTGGGCCTTACGGGTATGGATTTGGTTTTCCAGGATATGGCTTTATGCCAAACCCAGCTTTGTTTCCCACGTCCTTTTTCAGGTCTGGTGTTCCAACAAAATCAGATAAGAAAGGCGCAAACAGAAGAGAAAATGTAGCTAAGAGATTTTATGGTTACGGCCATTTTGGTGTTCCCGCTGGGTTTGGATATCCTGGCTGGGCTAATTACGGACATCCTGGATTCGGTTTTGGAGTTCCTGCCTTCGGTAGCTATAGCCCTTTCCTTGGGTATGGACCTTTCGGTACTTGCTTCTATAAATCAAAAATACCCAAAGACAAAAAGGACAGTAGTAAGGCGAAGCGAGACACAACTGGGAAAGTCCATAAGAAATGCTGTGGAGGATGCGGAGGATGCGGTGGATGTGGAGGATTCCTGGGCTGCGGAGGCAGCTATGGAGGACTTGGAGGATGTGGTGGATTTGGCCTAGGAGGATGGGGTGGATTAGGCTTAGGAGGATGGGGTGGATTTGGGCATGGCTTAGGATATGGAGGATTTGGCCACGGTGGATGGGGATGGGGCGGTTATGGCTATCCTCTATCTGGTGGGTGGGGCTTAGGAGGCTATGGCGCCTGGGGCCCAGGCTGTGGATTCTACAGATCAAAGGTTTCAGGACATGATAAACCGGAGAAACCTGAGAATAAATCGAAACGGGAGGCTGATGACAATGAACAAACAGAAGACAAAGCTGAGGAAGAGCAAGCACCAGAAAGCTCAGAAACAAAAGATGACAAGAAAGACAAGAGTAACTGCGGCTGCGCACCACCATCATCGGACAACTCCGGAAACAACAAAGCTGGAAAAAGAAGTTGTTGCGGTGGTTCAGCATACTTGGGATTACCCTTTTATGGAGGTTATGGAGGATACGGGGGATGGTATGGCTCGGGATACGGCTATGGCTACCCTTTCCTAGGGTATGGCGGGCTAGGTTTTGGTTTAGGTTACGGTCGTGGTTTAGGTTATGGAGGATGCGGTTTCCCCTGTGGAGGTTCTCTTGAGGTAAGAACTAAAAAAAATGGATGTTATTAAATTTTTTTAGGATATATTAGAGCAACTTATCATGACGCTTACCATAGGAACTAACAGAACTTACCTGCTTGGTAAGATCTTAGGAGTGAGACAGTCAACATTTCAAATTCCAAATTTTAAATTTCAAGACGTTCTAAGTATCCAATAATTTGCATTTCGATTTCCATGATTAATTTCTAAAGTGAAACGTTGAAGGTTTGTTATAAATACTATCTTTTATCATGCTATAGCGACTGATACCTTTAACACTGTGTATGCAGACGATTGAACGTAAGGGCGCATTCATCTGCTGATTTATTTCGCGAAATTAGATTGAGGACCTGAGCCAGAACAACACAGGACAGTAGACTTGGCAATTATTGAGATTTTGAGAGAAGTTATTGTTTCGTTTTCTTAAAAGGCTTTTATAGAATTATGACAAGAAAGTTTACTGAAATTACGCTGAGATAAGCTCGTGTCACTCAATTATCAAAACGTAACAAAGAAAAACATAAGTAGCAGTAGTTGCTGTCTAAAAAAAAAAAAACGAAACAAAACAGACCAAGTCTTTTAGGGAAATGTCCTTATGATTTGTTTTCATATGAGCCAAGCACAGACGTAATTTCCAACTGCTTGCATTGTTCGACGGTGTCTTTTTTTTCTTTGTATTCGTTGCCTCATGTAAATATCCATATTTTTATTTAACTGAAGTTGAAGCGAGCGAACGCGTTTTTGTGAAACAATTTGAGGTTATAATTATCTATAATAAATAGCTCCGGATTGACTGTTTGGCCTAAACACGGTAGAGGATATTGTAGCCCCATCAGCCGTACTTTCTCTGATTTACAAACTTTAATGAAAAAGAATTTCTAAAATTAAGCTAAAGAGGCTAAAAATGAGATCGGACTCGCGGACCATTCAAAATTTTTTCAGCTATTGGGAGCCATTTATACAAATGATTCTCATTTATTACCCATGTTAAGTCGGTGGCGTGTTCTTACACGTATCTCGAAATGTCAAACACGTTAATAAGAAGCTGATTGGCCCTCTATTTGTATCAAAGATAGTCTTAAGCAGGTAATACCTGTTAGTCGGTAAATCACGAGCCTGCTTTTTCCCTGTTTATACAGCTTTCTTGGTAAATTTCTACTGATACAGCATCTTCGAAGTCTTTCGCGCAGTATAAGCTAATCCCATGTTTCATACTCGTCACACCGACGCCCTTTCTACCTCTTAGTAAGCGGTCTTACGGTTCAGACGAATATACCTTTAAAATCAGCAGCAATTTCTCACGTAAATTACGCACAAGCATATTAAAGCCCAAAACTAACCCCTTTTTAACCTTTTTTTTATAATACATCTGATTTTCGTGCCAGACTACGCTGGTAACTCCCATTCTCAATTTTTTAGGTAAGATAATTACGATTTAGCTGTGAAAACTTACAAATATAAATTTGAAAAATAATTACATTCCTATTTCTCTAACGTTTCATTCTTAGGCCTAACAAATGTATGCAACAACTTCACGCACTTTACTTCTATAGTTACGTGAGCTCGTTTCTGGGCTCTGTAATGTGTTAACTGTGCATTCAAATCTCATTTGCGAGCAATTATACTTTTTATGTCAATCAGGTTGTTGATCCATGTGATTGTGGATACACCACTATGGCTGGTCCTTGCGGTTGTGCTTCTTGCTGTGGAAAGTCAAAGATTTCAAAAGAGGAAAACGATTCTCAGAAAGAGAAAAGGAGCGCCGAAGCTGATAAAAAGAAGCAGTCTAAGCGATGCGGATGTGGAGGTTGTGGAGGTTGCGGAGGTTGCGGAGGTTGCGGAGGAGGATATGGAATAGGTTTTGGTGGGTGTGGTGGCTGTGGAGGATACGGTGGATGTGGTGGCTGTGGTGGTTGTGGCGGATGTGGCGGATGTGGCGGATGTGGCGGATGTGGCGGATGTGGCGGATGTGGTGGGTGCGGCCACGGCGGCTGGGGCGGTCATGGAGATTGGTTTGGTGACGTCGGACACGGGGACTGGTTTGGTGACTTAGGCCATGGCTGCGGAGGATGTGGTTGTGGGGGATGTGGTTGTGGCTGTGGCGGATATGGAGGACATTGTGGATACGGAGGTCATGGATGGTATGGACATGGTGGTTGGGGTGGATGCGGTCATGGTTGTGGTGGCTGCGGTGGCTGTGGTGGCTGCGGCTGTGGAATTTTCCGATCTAAACTTGCCAAGAATGACAAGAAACAAACAGAAAAGCAAGCGAAAGATAGCTCGCAGCCCGCTCAAGATAAGAAAGCAGCACCAGATGCGGGAAAAAAGGAGGAAAAGGCAACTAAAAGGTGTGGACTTTGGGGTGGTTTTGGAGGATGTGGAGGATTCGGTGATCTTGGTGGATTTGGAGGTTGGGGAGTTGGCGATTGGAACTTCGGTGGTTGTGGAGGTCCCTTCGGAGGCTGGGGTGGATATCCAGGTTACGGCTATGGCTATGGAGGCTGTGGTAGCTGTGGAAGCTGTGGAGGTTGTGGAGGCTTTGGGGGATGTGGCTATGGGGGTTATGGTGGCTGTGGAGCCTCTTGTGCTGATGCTGGACCGTGGACATTTTTTAATGGCGGCTGCTGTAAATCTAACGTGGGTGAAAAGGGTTCTTCTGATAGTGCTCATGATGAGAAGTCTCCAGGCAAAGAAGCTGCGCCATTGTCTGTTCAACCAGCTGGGGGACCTACACCTATAGCCAAAACCGCCGCTGCTGGTGCTGTGAAACCCGGTCAACTAGAACCAGCACCAGCACCAGCACCTGCTAAAACTCGGGATCAACCAGCAGCCCGAGAAAAAGCTTCCAAACGCTACGGAATCCCTGGCTTTGGAGGTTGTGGATACTGCGGGGGCTGTGGACGTGGTTTCGGAGGCTTTGGAGGATGCGGAGGGTTAGGATATGGAGGATTAGGATATGGAGGGTTAGGCTATGGAGGGTTTGGATGTGGGGGATTTGGTCATGGGGGCTATGGACTATTGGGTCATGGATTTGGTTTCCCCGGCGGCTATGGTGGTTATGGCTGGGGATTTCCAGGTTATGGATATGGTTACGGTTTCCCATTAGGTTTTGCTCGATCAAAACTTCCTCAGAAGAATAAAGACGTGAGGCCAAATACTCGTGGGGAAATCCCTGTAGCAGACGGTTATGTACAAAAGAAGAAGCAAACTATTCATCTTGGATATGGTTATGCCAGTGGTGACAACTATCGTCTTGGATATGGATTTGGTGGGATGGGAGGTAGCTAACTCAATTTTTTTCCAAGTTCTTATTTAAAAGTCAATAATCGTAAATGTTTGATTAAGGAAAGAAAAAAATGGCCTGCCGGAATCAATTCTTACTACTTTGTTATTCGGCGACCCCACAGCTGAGGTAGAGAGTAAGTAATGGACTTCCAATGATCGTTAAACTTACTAACCAAAAACAAGTTAACAAGTGTGACTAATAGGATTTAATCCTATTACAGCCAGTTCAATATTTATGTTTTTGTCTTTGCATACATTACAGAATCGTTTTCATAAGCTCTTTTATTAAGAGGTCTTAGTGCAATTTGTATGCAAGATATGGTTATGTTCGCCTTTCTTAGGTTTAGCTGGCTATCATGGAGTTGGTGGCGTTACTGGAACATCCGTCTATCGCTCTAAGATTCCAAAAACGAGTGTAAAGGGCTTTAAAAGATGGGGCTGGGGACATGGTGGGTATGGCGGACACGGATTCGGTCATGGTCATGGAGGATGGGGATATGCGGCACCTTATGGTCATCCCATTACCCATCCGGGATTCACAAGCATCGGATTTCCTGGACATGCCCTGGCAACATTTGACGTCAAAAACAGCATCGCTCAGAAGCGGGGGAAACAAAAGCGACAGATAGTTCCCTTTGGTGCAGTGAGTCCTGGTCCACTGGCTTTACCTGCCACTCTGCCTGCTCCACTTCCTGCTCTTGCACCTCTGGCTTTGCCTGCTACATACCATGCTCCTGTGTATGCCCCAGTTGCACATCCTGTTGCCGCTGTCCCTTCCTACGCCGCTGTGCCCGCAGCAGGCGCACTACCAGCGACTGCTTTACCTGTTGGCTGTGAGTAGACTTTCTTTGTGTTTGTTGCGCCTCCTGGTCTCACGACAAAGTTTTGAATTTTATTGACGTCACTGCTATGATTGATAAGGTCAATGGTAAATTGTGGTCGATCTGATTTTTACAATAACATCTCATGTGCGTGCTGTTCTTGTTGTTTTAATTTGTGTTATGTAATGACTTCTACAACAAAATATGATTATCAAAATGAATTACATGACCATAGATTCTGGTACCCTGAACTGTTATAACCCACTTACTTTTAAATTTTGTGCCGTTTGTATTGGCATCGCTATGTATTTCGTCGCGGTCATCTACTTCCAACCTTGCGAACCGAGAACCGACTTTCTTTTACCGTGCCTTTTCTTTCACCTAGACAAGTTCTTCTCCAAATGTTACTCCGGGTATACCGGTCATAAAAGTCGGAATTTCGTCACTGGCCACTTTTCAGAAATTTGCAATTGTTTTACGGAAGTAAACTTCTTCTCCGATATGGCGTGGATTGCTCAGCGTTGCGTTACATGTTGCATCATTTCTATCTTCGATTGTTCTCGACTAATGAGCGCGCGAGAATTTTCACAATAATTGTTGTTATTATTATTATTATTATTACTGTAATTATTATCACTGTTTCCCTATTGAATGTCATAGCATGTTAACATGGGCTTATCTGATTAAATTATAGTGCACCTTGGTGGACCAGCCGTTGCCGGACTGGCGCTAGGCCGCTCTAATATGCCACAAGGTTTTGGACCTTTTGGTAACATAAAAAGATCCGAAATGCCAGAAAAATGATTCAACACTTTATAGGTGAGGAAAGCTCAAACGGTAACTGAACTTGCAAGCTGGCCCCCACTCAAGGGTTTGTTCAGCCATGTATTAAATAGGCAAACACGTCAGCTCTTCTAGTCTTCTCATTTTATTTTTGTCATTCTTTGGTCTTGGTAATGTTGCCATGACGACCCCGAAGCGTATAGCATGAATTTTATTTTTTATCAGTTTGGCCTCTATTTGCTTTAACAACAACCCTCTTCAGATTAAATGGCGAAGATGATTGACTCTGCAATTGCTGTGACTCGTGTTCGTGTGAACAGTAACTGCTCCTGTCCTGTTACATACGTTCTTTTCCGCATCTTTTTTTGTCGTCGAATGCCCTGTATTCTCTTTATTATTTCTAAGAGTAGAATGTGTGAAAAAGAATCCCAGTTAGATGAATACTCGTTGAAAATGACTCACCATGATATCAAAGCTGCATTTATCACTTCTGCAGAACTTATGCAAAGAGAGAGAGTTCGAAACGCGGTTAACTGTATGACCGTGACTTCCGTTAATTTATTTTTTGGTACCTTACATAGATTTCTCTCAAAACTCTTCTCGATAGACTCGGTGCTTTCCCTTCCCATCCACAGAGCTTCGTATCCCGTAGAGAAAAAAGAGAGACAAAAGGAAGGGATGGAGGAGGGGATCAGCTTTTTAGTCAAAGAAAATTGATGTCTTCTCTCATCTTCTTCTCTGTAAAATTGTTCTTTTCTCTTGCAGGTTGAAACAAAGAACGTAGAAACTTCATCGTAGAAGAAATCACAAGAAAGAAATGAATTTTTGTTTTGTATCGTTAAAGGAAAGAGCTTTGTTAAGAAGTGTTATGGTTCATTTTTTTAATTATCTACACGGTGCAGTCATGTTCCTGATCTGCACACAGACAGTAAATAATTTACCAGAAACGTTTTTAATTTCAAGTTGTCAAAAATAAAGTGACATCACTGATTTACATATGATTGGTTACTCTTCTTCTCCATTCTCATTCTTTTAATTATCAAAATGGATGTCCTTGAATGAGAGTATAGGACAATTCAGTGTCAATCATGGTCGGTCTTAAAGAAAAAAAAAAGATTATTTGACATTATGACGTGTCATGACGGCTGAGAGATTAATAATTACTTTTATCTAGGGCCGGCAAATGTTTATGAAATGTACTAGCACGTTAGCTGTTCGGAATTTTTCCCCTGAAACCGTTGAGGGTTAGAAGAGGCTGTGTGTGTCTATAACCGTAAACGAGGTTTTTCCGTCATTACCTTTGTTAAAGTTTGTTCTTCTGACCCCCCATATTCCCTTAACGATGCTTGCGTATCCCCTTTTATCATCCATCAGCGTTCCTTTATAACGTTTCAGCGAACTAACCCGTAAGCGAGACGACTTGTGGGCGCAACTGACCCATAAGCGAAATGACTTGTGGGCATACCGACCAGTAGCAAGATGACTTGCGTTCGGGAGTCAAGGTGGATGCGCCAATATCATCATAGAGAAGCAGATTAACAAGCAAATAAAGAAAAGAAAACTTTTAACTGATAGAACTTGCTCAAATAGCACTTGCCCTTAACCAGCTGCAAAAACAGCAGAAGGAAATCCTTCACCAGTGGACCAGAGGACACTGATATACTTTGCACATAGTTTGCTACGTTGGTTGGTTATTACATTATTTTTATAATAAAATTTGACTTGTGGTTGGTCCCTTGTAAGTGCTAGTTTCATTTGTAGAGAGAAAAATGGAGTAAAAAAAAAACACGATACCTTAATAATGGTGCAGAATTTTTATTGCACTCCTTCATTTTCAAGTGCGCAAAAAGGTATGAGCCCCACCTTATTTGCACTAAGGCAATCCTTTCCTTCCCCGTTATAAATGAACGGACCGTAGGAAATTTGTATACAATGTATTCCTTTTATCACTGTGATGTGCTTCAGACCTCTTAATTGTGCGTTTGGACTGCGACTATCCCGCGTTTATCACGCGACGGACGACCGGGGTAAACTGGGAACGAAAATGAAGTAAAGATGTTACGCGCGTGTTCGCGCTTGACGCACTCTCCTTGGCGCGTAACAAACATTTTGGTTTTTCTTCATTTTCAAAGCCATTAGACTGAAAATTTCACTTTCAGCTCCATTCCGTTTTGAAAATGTGTCTTTCCTCGTTCAATTTCAAGTAAGTGGCGTCAACGGTTGTGGCCCTCAGAAAACATGGAGGAAGCGTTTACGATGGTAAGACACTGACAATCGACTGTTCTTTAATTTGCCTAAATTAAGTTTGGGTGAAATGAAGTTTAAGTGCTCTTAACGTGATAAAATTGTTTCTATATCTTCAGCAATAACTGATAGAGAATATCGATCGTTTAAGTATTCTTTACTGACTTCTGTGGTTTGAAATGTAAGCTTACAAGTCTGAAATATAACAATATTTTGATACAATCACAAACTTCAGTGGGTTTGCATTCAAACGTCTTACTGATCTGCTGGCCCCATTACGTCTAAATTATTCTATGTTGTCTTAAGTAGAAGATCAAATTATCGGTATGTTTAGTACAAAAGAATTAGCAAAGTTGAATCCGTGATTAAATCACCATTCATTTTTTACGATAGTGTAACTTCTGCTTCTTTGTTTCTCAGCTTTGTTGCATGCACTTTTCTACATGCATATATTTACAATTGTTTTGCAATGTGTATGTGTGTCTTACTTGTGTTTATAATTTTGTCTTTCAATTAATTTTTTCCCGTTATTTTTTTAATATCAGTACTGTTTTGTTTGTTTATCCAACCTATAAATTGATACTCTCCACTTTTTCTCTCTCTTTTATGCTTCTATGGTGGTGAAATAACTCAATGAAAAAAAAGATTTACTACCAAGCTATGAATGAGAAAGAGTGTGGATGATTGATGTGTTGATTTTGGGGGAAAAAGGCTTAATCCTTTGGATATCAGGATCAGTGTAGTTATTCTCCCCACTTGCTGCCATTCATTTCCTTGTACCAGTAATTAAGAAAAAAAAATTTGGTGTTACTGTTATATTGAGCTTACACCTTTCAGTTCATTAGCTTTCCTTTTCTCAACATCATGCCAGTTTGCAGGATAATGTCTTCAATTTACATGGTGAAGTTATTTGTTTACTGTATTTGGGAGTTAGATCTCTCACTATTCTGTCACTATTCTAGCATGTTAGCCATGCTTAAGTTTTGTTGTGCAACATTTGCCCTGGTTTTCAACCAGGAGACTCAGAGGTCATTGAAAATATTAGCTAGTAGGAGAAAACACAGGACAAAGGAGGAGAGCCACGCAAGATCATTAAATTTAACTTTTTTCCAGTAGCTCTTATTAGAAAAAACAAACAAAAAACATAATAGGGGGTTACTGATTTGATTTATCTTTAGTTGATTATTAGCTATTTCCTATTTATATATTAGACCTAGATATTTTTTATATGGTTGAATTATAAAATTTTCTTCCTTCCATGTATCTTCTGTAGGACTGATTTCATCATGGGAAGGTTTTCCTCAGCTCCAAGGTACTGAGAAATACCTTAACAGTGGTATTCTAGTGGAGCAACTGTACTTGAGCAGGTGTTGGAGAAAATAACAGCACTTTGTTTGTCAAACATCCAAGGTGAGTAGTTCAGTAATGTTTGAAAAACACTAAGCTAAGTTTAGTCATTGAACATGGTTTCTCAGCATTGTTCTTTGTATCCTGTATCTTGCATGAGAGGGATCACAATAACTCCATGTGATTACACATGCAAGTATTTCAATATCATGGCAGATTTCTTTTTCTCAATCAGTGGACAACCTTACCCCTTTACACTCTAACAATTTAGTATGCATATTTCCCAAACTGTTCTCTTTACATTTTTTAAGGTGCTGAGAAGGAGAGTTTGTTATGCTATCAACAGATTCTTTAGTTGATGATCATTACCTTTATCCTCTTGACTCTAATGTGCGATTCAGGGGTGATTTTGTACTTAAAAAGAAATACATGCTAGTCATTTTTCAGTGGTGAAAGCTGGTTAACAAGTAAAAATGATCTTTAACTATTAAATGAGTAGGATATCCTATCTTTTTATTTCATGATTTTGATGTAAAAATTATCCCCATAAAGGCACATTGTGGAAAAATATAAAAGGAAATTGATAGGAAGGAAAAAGGATACATGTATGTATAACTCAAAGCTTGCACAAAACTGTTACTCAAGGGTGCAAGTTTCCTTGAGTTGAGTTGATGTTGTTTGAAGATTGCAATTTTTTTTCCAAGAATTATATATCACATTGTTTCATATACTTGAGAAGTATTTCCTGGCAAGTGTTTTTTCAAGTAATATACATTGTACTTAAACCCTTGCCTCTAGCTACATGCAGCAAAATGTAACATGAACCAGTTGCAAAACCCACATATTAGTACCAGTACAGGCATAAATGGCTATTTACTCGCAAATGAGATGGAATGAGCCAATCTTACCTTATCATATCTCTTTAGCAAGAACTTAATGGCCCTCTTTTCAATTAAATTATTTTTCAAAGAGATTGGTGCCGAAACCTTTTAAAGAAGTTTCAAAGGAGTCACTCAGTAACTTTATTCACGAGGAATTACCTTTCACTGACATAATTATAGTAGTATACTAGTTTCACATAATGTTGGAACCTTGTTTCTGCAGTTGACCCTTTTTATTTCCTTTGGGAGCCAATGATAAGCAGCCTTTGATAAGTCAGATTTACAAATTGCCAGAACAAGTTAACAATACCAATACAGGTAGAACTTTCTTATGTTTCAATTACTTTGTTTGAATCATTATTTATACCAGATGGTTTTATTTTTCACAGCCATTACAGTTTGTGAAAAGATTAATGTTTTGGATTTAACCTTTGAGTTGAGAGCTATTGTCACACACAAGTGGCTCCTTTTGGAGCCATTGATTTAATATTTAAGTTCAATGACCAATATTTTACAGCCTAAATTTTGCTGTGCTGGTTTTTTCATATTACTGACAGTAGTAGTCATTTATAATTTTTATGAAATGAACTGGACTATGGTTTTAAGCCAGTTAAGTGCACATGATGTATGATTTTAGGCTGGTTATAAAGTTTTTCAATTTCTATATGGGGATTTGAGGGAAAACTTATTAAAAAAATCTTTGCTATCAGCCAGACCTCTTTCTTTGGGAAAAAAAAATTCAGAAGCGAAGTTTAAGGCTCCCCTAAAATAGCTGGGCTTTCACAGGTGAATAGACATGGAATTACTACAATTTAAAATATTATTTTTTTCCTGGTTTTTAATCATGATTTTATTTTGATTTCTGGAGACTGGTTACGACTATCATACATGAAAGTGCTATATCAAACAAAAATGAGGAAAGTTATGATCCAATCAGCAATGAAATACTAGTTATTGGTGCATGAATTTGCCAAGAGATTACATTCACTACAAGTACAGATACACCTCACTCAGTGAAACCAGAAATCCACAATTTGATGAATTTATAATACTATGTCAACATGCCTGAAGCCAATGAGTCAACATACACATAGGCAATGAATCAAACCAAAAAACCCAACAATTGCAGGATGAAAACTGGTCAATTTAATACCTTACCCCACTGGAACACTTTCATTGAATCTAAAGCTTGTCCTCTCATGGTAAAATGGACTTAGCATTTCATCTGATGAGTTTCCAAGAATTATATTTAACTTAAAAGGAGCTTCTCAGTTGACTCTAAATAAAACGTTCTGCTTTTGTTGTTGAAATGTCAGCTACAGTCAACATAGAGACTACAGCTCTAACTGAGGTCAAGAAAATTGTCCAACTGACATATCCATCTTTTGGTATGGATGATCCACTCATTGACTTCAATTGTACTGTCCTGTACATATCTTTGGTATGTTTTTATTTGTTAAAAGGGAAAGAAGGAGGAAAATTTAGGTTTAAGGTTCGCAAAAAGAAAAAAAATCTCTCTGTTTAGCACTAAATGTCTTGAATACTGAATTCATTAAGAAGATTAACTGAGATCAGATGCCCATAATCTTTTACATTTTAAATTATATTTTCTTGTGGAACAAAAGTTGTTTTAGCCAAAGGCCAATTCTTTTATTCTTTGTTTGACCACTTGAAGAGTTTTAATTCCATATTAGAGTTGCAGTTAAGTTAAGTTAATGGTTCATTATAATGTAACATTACACACCAAAAGTGATAACCTCTTCTTTAAGTTGCATTTGTGGCTAACTGCAAATTTTCAACAAAAATTAATAAAACTCAGCAGCGCTATTGATTTTGGGACTTGAGTTTGCGTGTTCTTTAAGTGGCATGATAGCTTTATTATCTACATTTTAATGGTGAAAAAGTACACTTGATGTATATGTTGCAAGTGTACTTGCAGATGTCGATGCAAAAAGGAAAAATTATGGTTCAAAACAAATGTGCTCTGTATGTGAAGGAGTTATATAATTTGTCAATATAAATAATTATAAAGTTTAACATTCTTGAAAAAGTCTCACACACAGCAGAGTAATACTTGATAAAATTTTAAGGCACAGATAAAATTTTAAGGCACAGAAGCTTAAGTCGAGCAGTAGGGAAAAATAGACATGATCTCAAAATTGTATTGAGTTTATGATTTTACAAAGGGCTCACCTGACAGAAACCACTCCCAACCTAGCATTGACTTTTAATATCCACGGAATGTGTAATTCCAGGGCAGTCAAAATTTTGGAAGCTTCCAAATAAAGGGAATGACCTTAGTGCTTCAGAAGACCCCAAAAAGTCTTTACAATGATGATTGTTTTGTCAGTTGCAGGACTTCTTGTGAATTATAGGTCACTAAAGAATCATCTTCTGTAAATGTAAAATATAAATACAGCTTCCCAGTGACATTATGCCTTAGTCTACAAAACATTCAGTCTTCCCAAACAAAAAGCATTGCAAAGGCTTTCTGAAAGTGTTTTATTTATTTATCAAATTACAAAATAAAAATGGGATTGGTGGTCTTCCTAGGTCTGGCAGATTTTTCTCACTGAATTATTTACTCGACATGCAGTTGCAAGAGTGATTGAATCCTGTTGTAACAATCTAAATTCAAGGAGAGTTAAGAATTTGACAACAATGACTGAAAAGTATATTTTAGTCACAAAAGTGAATCAAACTTACATGTAAGATTTTGACGATTGGCTAATAATAGTCCATTTATGAGCATCTCTATTGACAGTCAAACCTGTGTTAAGGATCACCTTATTAATCGGTCACACTGTATTAAGGGGTTGTTTGCAAAGTCAGAAATTTATTCCCCTGAACCACTGAAAATTTTGCCTCTATTAATCGGTCACCTCTATTAAGCAGCCATGGTCACCCTCAACTGAGTCCCAATGGCCTGTTTGCATCATCTTCCACTTGTATTGAATGCTCAAACTAGGAATAATCTTTCAAGTAATTTTAAATCCATGTTTCTCTCCCAAAATTAAAGTAAGTAGTATTTTTTGAGAAAGATCCTGTACATTAAGTGCTAGATTATGGCCTATAGTGCCATTGTGTATCATTTTTTATAATACTCCTTTTTATAATACCTCTGTAATGTGGAACCTGTATTAGACAATCAACCTGCCACCACACCATTCTCTGTGAGTGACTGTTTAGTTTAAGTTAGATTGTACACCCATACCCATATGTTAGAGCATGTCCTAGAGCATATGCCACGGTTCTTAGTATTTTAAGTGAGTCTTCGTGCCAATATATTACATGCAAGTTTTGTTAGTTTTTTTCTACAAATGTGGTATCAAAACCTTACATTTTTATGTGTAAGGTAGGGGCTTCCTTTCATTTGACTTTTATTGATCCTAAAATTTGAGGAGAGAAATCATTATTTGATGAAGTCATATACTGTTTAGGTTTTATAGAAGACAAATCTGCAATTGACGTTGCAATTTCTCTATTATTAGGTTCCTTTCTTTGAAAAATTTTGCCATTAACATTATTGTCACGAGACCCTTCTTTTCCTTCAGTATCTAAAATTTGAGGGGAGAGGTCTTCATTTAACAAAGCTGTGTGCCCTTTAGGTTTTATATTGAATGACTCGACAGCCATTGTTACCATTTCTCTGTTGTCATTTTCTTTCCCTTTAGATACTTTACCATTGATTTTACTGACACCAGAACCTTTCCTTTCCCCAGCCTCTTTCCCACCAATTTTCCAACTAAAGGAGTATCCACCTCCACTTCCTTTTCCTCCTCCTTTCTTACCTTCTTCTCTTCCACCCTCTCCTTTTTCACCTCCTCCCCCTCCTCCTCCCCCTCCTGTTCCACCTTTACCGCCACCAACACGTCCACTAACAACTCCTCCGCTAACTCCCACTCCACCACCTGCCTCTATGCTAATAGTACCTCCACCTGCTGCACCGCCACCTGCACCTCCACCAGCTCCACCAGCTCCAGCTCCACCACCACCAGCTGTTTTCTCAGCACCTCCTCCTCCAACACTTGCTGCTCCTCCACCACCCTCTCCTCCACCAATTCCTCCTCCACCAGCCTCCCCTCCACCAGCTCCTCCTCCACCACCCTCCTTACCACCAGTTCCTCCTCCTCCAGCCCCTCCTCCACCTCCAGCTCCTCCTCCTCCACCAGTTCCTCCTCCACCAGCTACTCCTTCACCAGCTCCTCCTCCAGCAGCCACCCCTTGACCAGCACCTCCTCCACCGGCCATCCCTCCAGCAGCCCCTCCTCCACCAGCTCCTCCTCCACCAACTGCTCCCCCACCAGCTGCTTCACCACCAGCTGCCCCTCCACCAACCCCTACACTAGCCTCTCCACCACCAGCTTTCCCTCCACCAGCCACTCCTCCACCTCCCCCTTCTCCACCAGCAGCTCCTTCACCACCACCTCCTCCACCAGCAGCCCCTCCACCAGCAGCCCCTCCACCAGCAGCCCCTCCACCACCAGCTCCTCCACCACCAGCTCCTCCACCACCAGCTCCTCCACCACCAGCTCCTCCACCACCAGCTCCTCCACCACCAGCTCCTCCACCACCAGCTCCTCCACCACCAGCTCCTCCACCACCAGCTCCTCCACCACCAGCTCCTCCTCCAACAGCCCCTCCTGCACCAGCTCCTCCTCCAACTTTCCCTTCTCCACCTGTAGCTCCACCAGCTTCTCCTCCACCAGCTTCCCCTCCACCAGCTCCTCCTCCACCAGCTTCTTCTCCACCAGCTCCTCCTCCACCAGCCCCTCCTCCACCAGCTTCTCCCCCACCGGTTCCTACTCCACCACCTCCTCCTTTACCAGCTGCTCCACCACCAGCTGCTTCCCCGCCAGCTGCTCCCCCACCAGGTCCTCCTCCACCAGTTCCACCCCCACCTGTTTTACCACCAGCTGCCCCCCCACCAGCTGCTCCTCTGCCAGCTTCACCACCAGCTCCTCCACCAGCTGCACCCCCACCGGCTTCACCACCAGCTGCTCCTTCACCAGATTTACCACCAGCTGCCTTTCCACTTCCTTCTCCCACACCAGCTGAGGGAGGAAGTCCTAGCCTATCTGTTAGCCAGGATGGTAGCCAGAGTTTTGGTCCTTCACCAGGTGGTAGAGGAGCTGGAATAGGCTTAGATACGATCAAAGTTGGCATCATCCAGACGTCTTCCAGTTTTTTTCCTCCAGGATTACAACAACAAGGACAGCATGGTGGCATCATGCATGACTGTGGTTGACATGGTAAGCAATCCGAACAGGAACAACCACATGCTGATGGATTAAAACACGCACCACCTCCGCCTCCACAGGGCATAAAACATACGGATCCGTCTTGCGATGGAGAATCGCCTGACTGATCCTCATTTAATTTCTCTTTCTCTTTTCCATTACCTTTAGGCTTACTCTTGTTGTCCTGCGTGCCTTTAAAGTGATGATCCTCATTGTCGCTTCCCATGTCAGGCTCTGCGCTATCGTCAGTCCCACCATCGTTTTCATAATCATTAAGCCTTTTCAATGCGTTTTCTAAAATCTCGTATAGTTTCTTAAAATTTTCTCTTGAAATAGAATGAAGAGGACCTTCAGGTTTTTCTTCTTCCGTTCTCTTCGTAACAGAAAAACCATGACCGTATCTTTGAATTAACAGTACTTTTTTCGAAAAAGGTCGTGAGTCCTCGATTGCCTTAATAACTAAACCATTGAAATTTTTGATATGTTGTAGACGTTTAAAGAACGCAACGTAATTATATTCACTTGATTTGTTATTGTGTATTCCAACGGTGAAACACTGAAACTGAGTCAATACAATAGCAAACTTGAGAACTTCATACATTTCAGTCCATATTTCTCCCAGTTCCTCTTCCCCTTTGTGTGAAATTTCGACTGCATCGTTCAGCTAACAGTAGGGAATTCCTTGCTATGATGCCATAGGTACTTTCTTATACAAAGCATGTTTTCAAAGTTTTCTTCTTCACTTAGTGAAACGATGAAAGAGAAAAAAATGTCATGACTTTTTACCACCTTGACTCCTAGTGTTATCGAGTATGTAAGTTAACAGGTCTCTCTATTGTCAAAGACTTTGGGTTATCAATCATTCATGCTCAGATCTAGAAGGCGTTTGAACAATGTATAAGATTAAGAAAGATTGAGAAAGATTGTAAAGTTTGCGGCGCTCGGTCTTGACCACTGAGCTGCTGATAATTATTAATAAGAGAACCAAGATTGTCAAATCTGTGATGAATGGATTGGTCGAGATTAGCTGTACATTTTTAAATGAATGAATTATTTGCTTCGAGTAACATGCTCTCAAAAAGGTCACTTATTTAATAAACCTTCGCCTAGTTAAATGAAACGCTTTTAATTAACAAATTATTTGCTAAATGTTATAAAGTGATCATCAAACTCTCGGACCTATCTCCTTTTCCGACCTAAGTAAACTCCACAATGTGGATGGCCACATTTTGCTTTTGCCTTTAAAGGTTTCATTTTAAATTTCGGTGGAGTGTATTTAACCTTGTACATTATCATCGGACGCATTAAGCAACATCCAGCGCAACCACAAAGAGGAAAGTAAGGGAAAGATGGCTTCGGTTTGGAAGACTTATCCTTTACTTTCGTTCCTCGTCCATCTTTCGATGTGTTTTGACTTAAACTCTTCAGACTGCCCAAAGCCTTTTCCAATAATTTGCAAACTGTTTTTATCTTAAGTGAGTCTGGATTTCTTGTAGCGACATAGCTTCCGGCTCGTTTCCCGCTTCTTGGGCCTAAACTCCGTTCCACTTTACCACTGTGTAGACGTCTTGTGCTGTTGCAAGAACTTAAGCCAATTTTCTGTGAATTTTTTTCTTGAGAAAATGCGGTAGAAGCACAGTTAGTCTCAGGAGTTTCACAACCAACGCTTTCGATTGCTGAACAATAGTCAGGTTGAGTTGAAACAATGCTCAGGCAACAAAACGTTAAACGCCAGAGACTTTTCTTAAGCCATTTTTTCGTCGACAGCGATGTCATCCTCTTATTTTTTCTTGAAATATCTTTCATCATCTAGCCTCTAAGTTCCAAGTGAATCCACTTATAGAGCTCTAGTGTTTGGATTTATATTTAAGTAAGCTCAAAGGAATTCAATTGTATTGTTTACTACGGGTAGATTTCACAATTACTGATACATATACATATGGATTTGCGAATGCACAGAATGGAAAGTTAAATGTTATTTCAGAGCCTTTAATTCCTTTACAATTTCAACAAAGTTTACGAATCGCCGAATAAAATCAACTCATGCTCTTCCACTCTCTGTTTTATCGCTACCCGTTTTCCACTCTTACCCTACACCCACCAGCATCAATTCTAAGCCATTTAAGATAAACTGTTAGATTAAATACCTTTGATGAAAAAACCTTTCTACGAAAAAGCAGTTCCATATTGCAAACTACTTGACAGTAGATTACAGGGGAAATCATTACAACTTGCACGAGTAGAGGAAACGTAAGTCTTCACTGCTTAAAATTATTTATAAGACAAAATGTGATTTTTGCAGTATGTATCGTTAAGGCAAGAGGAAAACTTTTAAGACCTTAAAGCTAAATTTTTTTTCTAAGCCTTAACTTTCTGCGCTGCAAAACCGAATCTTCCGTTCGCTAAACGTCTTCAACCTGCATCTTCGACATTAAAGCGCGTCATTTTTTTTCGTTAGAGTCAGTAGATACCCAAAGATAGCAGCTAGTATGTCATTAAGACGCTGTTGATTTTCTTTTACAAAGCTAACAGGATTCCTTGTTTTTTCCAGCGACACCGGACCAACTTCAACAGCACGGTCTATTTCGGGGTAAAGTAAAGTCTTTTATTGCTACACACGGGTGGTTAAAATAAGTCGAGAATGCAATAAATCAGGACCCTGGCAACATCAGCAGATAAAGTGGATTAACGTTTGGGATCAAGAAATACAACAAGAAGAGGACATATGGAGGCGTAATGCAAAGGCAACAGATCATCTAAATGTAAGTTGTGGAAAGGCGACAAGCTCAGTTTTATTTTTTTCCAAGTAAAGTTGTCATGCAAGTTTCTGTATGGGTTCGAACGAGAGCTTTAAATTTGTGAACATTGGCAACAAGAAGTACACCCTTAAGTTCGGTTGATTGACACGATGGCCTGCGTAACAAGTTTATGAATACTCCTATTAACTTGATGTCTGTTAACTGAAAGATATAAAGTATAATGTCGGTGATGTTATACAGTAAGCGTGCAACCCATCTCTCCATAAACGTCCATGGTATTAAGCCTTCTTCCAAACAAGAGAAAAATACTTCTATGGCCATAACTTACGTTATTTCGAAAGGATTATGGATTGTTTCCTGATAAAGTTAAAAAAAGGGGACTTGGGGTGATCCGAAATCATAACTGCAGCAACAATAATTCAATATTTTTAACAGAAATGCACACATCATATTAAATGCTTGTTTAATTTATTAACCAGTTCTCAGTTGTATCATTAAATAACATGCACAGCTATCGAAGACTTTTCTCCGACGTGAATAATATCCATTTCAATAAAGCATTGATGTGTTCCATATTAGCTCCATGTTGCCTCGGGCGTGCTGAAGTGAAGCTGCTTGTTTTTGATCCCTCCGAATCCAAGGCTTCTTTAGAAGTTATGAGATCTGGAAAAATAGGGAAGAGAAAAATATGTCATTATATTTTTTATGTTTGAGGCACTTTTCGTATTTCTTATATGAAAGAAAAAGAATATTTTTCTAAGTTTTTCTTTTGTGTCAGTGTCATGTTTAACGTGTATATATGTTTCTATGACAGAGGAGAGAAATAAGAATGTTGATTGTAAAAAGAGTAATCTATCAAAATAGCTAAAACGATAACTTTCTGCCATGGTAGAGCCATTGTGCAGTAAAGTAAACTTTTGAGGTGACATCTTTTGGGTTACAAACTGTCGGCTTTCTTTAGAAATTATGGGCCGCTTATTTAATCAAAGTTTAGCCGTTGTTTAACAAAATCGTGTTTAGATTAATTTTAAGTTTCGCTGGACCTTTCATCCAAATTTTTTTGGGAGGGATGTCTGGATAGCAGATAGCTATCAGTGGAAGGACAGTTATTTAATTAAATCAGCCCTCTGATAGAAAAAGCTTGAGGCCCAATGATTGCGTAAAACCGTGGTTTGGTTTATACCCCTTGTAAATAACCGGCCCTATCTCTCCACATATTAGAAGTACCTTGCTGATCAGTTTAAAATGCTCTTGGGATAGGCATCATTGGAACACCATTGAAAAATGGGTTGTAGAATGGTGCATAGCCATGACTGTATGGAACCGGCACAAAAGGAGATCGCTGTTCTTCCATCAAGCTGCGTTTCACAGGGCCTCGCTTACCTTATCACAAGTGTAAAGGACACAATGGGTGAATTAGTGACTGATCTGAGGTGAACAATTGTTCCCATTAGAGATTGACTTTCTGCCACCTTGCGCCTTCCGTCTCAAGATAGCTCGCTGGCTAGCTTCTCTGGTCAAATTTGGAGTTCAGGGCTCCGATCTAAGCTTAGTAAATTTCTGCGTGGACACAAATGTCTTTACATTTTCACTTGCACTTTACAATGGGAAATAAAATAGTCACGTCTTACTTGATCTTCTTAAACAGTGATGTCCACAGGCTGTATGGTGACTGTGTGGTGATGGGCAGTGGCACACAGGCTCAGGTTTCAGCGGTTTGAACTCAAATTGGGGTGGTGTACAGGTACAGCAGCAGGGCCACATGCATGGCCACTTGCACTTTCCAGGAGGGGTCTTTTCTTTACAACATTCACAACCAGGGTTGTTCACAGTGGCGCCAAATTGACAGGGAAACGTGAGACTTGGGCAGCAGCCGGTGTTACATCCTGAGCAAGTGATTGGGGCACCGAATCCTCCTTTGCAGTTGGAGCACATGGTACCGGGAGCACACCAGTCGTTTGGTCCACAGCATCCGCATCCTCCGCATCCTCCGCATCCTCCGCATCCTCCGCATCCTCCGCATCCTCCACATCCACCGCATCCACATCCTGGTCCGTAGCCTCCCATGTAATCACAGCCGCCAGAATCGAAGGAATCTCCACATCCACAGCATCCGCCACATCCGCAGCGTTTTTCTGCAAGTATTTAAATAGGGTAGGCTAAGAAAACGCAGTAGGACGTAAAGGAATACGATAAAAAGAAGTGTTACACGTAATAATTCATGCGGTTTGATTTGCGGTTTACCGCCAAATTTACTGCTTGGTAGGAGTGCTTTCTGAATCTTTGCTGTTGCGTTTTTTCTGCGTGCTGTTAATAATATCACTTGGAGTATCAAGAAAATGTGCCTCAAGTCCCAACCAACTTTTCATTAATGCGTGCAAGTGCACTTCCATCATGCAAAATTTACAGACTTACCGGTTTTGGGTAGCGTTAAAAAGACACCATGACATTTCCCCAAGGTGTTTTATTTTTCCGGTGTAGGGGTTATCTTAATTGTATTTCAAGTTAAACGCAACGAACAAGCGCGCACGAGTTAAGTGATACTTTATTCAACCTTTATTACATATTCTTTTGATAATTAAGGAAGTTATAGTTGTTGAATCTGTATTCTTCTTGTGTGATTAAAAGGTAGCCATGGCTGGAAATTTCTGGAGTGCTATTTGATGGCAATCCTGCAAAACACAAACCAACATCGTTGAAATATGAGGTTAAAACATCAGAGTTGCCTTTAAGAAACATTCTTTGAAATTTACCCATCAGCTTCTGTTACGTTTTGAAACGAACCACAGCTTCGGAATACAGAGAAGTGTTGAATTCTACAAGTCAAATCTATAAATGTTGTTACAGCGTTTTTTGATCGTAGGAAATGATTTGTAATTTACCTTGTTTGCCTTTGATATCATGATCCTTTGAGTTATACTGGTTGATTGGGCTCTGAATTACTTGGAACTTGAAGAAAACCTTGAGGCTTGATTTGAAGGCCGTTGACAATTGGGAAACTGAAGGGAGCAAACACTTTTGGAAACGGCCCGCCAAGGGTATCCAGTAGGTTTCGTTTGAGAGGACCTTGATTATCTGTTGTGGTGAAAAAATGCAGTTAAAGTCAGCTTACGAGGTAGGAGACTCATCCTGCCTGAACTTATTGAATTCAGTGAGTTCAGTTCAGGAGCGTAAACGGGATACAAGTCCATGGCAGGCTACCCTTTATATTGCGTCATGTTCCCTTTAAAGGTTTAAGTTACCTATTGATAGACTTTGTGGAGGAGAGGCTCAGTGACCTACCAGAGAAAATCACACATGTCCTTGCTAGTTTCGCCTGTTTCTTAAAAACTGGTAATTTTACACACTCTAGGCAATCGTTTCAATCCAAATCTTAAGTATAGAAATAAGGCTCTTTGCTCAGAATTCTGTCAATTTGCTTTAGTTGCGTGGTATTTTTGTTATGTGGATTTAAAAAGTATCAATTTCTTGCTGTTATATCCAAACATTGAAAAAAAAACCAACAGCAACAAAAAATAGCTTTACAGGACCCGTAATCAAGAAGCAGGTCCCATTGCTTGAACCTGGATCCATTATAACAGAGTTAAGCGTCCTAACCAGGAGGCCACCACGCCTCGCTTCTGGGTGGAATTTTATTGAAAATAAATTCGTCTCCGTCAAGCGATGGTGTTTTTTGTCAAAATTGAAAAGTAGATAATTTTTTGAGGTTATAGAAACGTGTGTTGTGAATAGTAGAAAGAAGTGCGGCATACTTGTTTGTGATTGGTGTAATCTGTAGTAACGCTTGTGTGGACAGTGGCACACTGGCTTGGGCTCCAGAGGCTTAAACTTGAACTTAGGTGGATCGCACTCGCAGCAGCATGGCCACATGCATGGCCAGATACATTTTCCTTTGGGAGGCTTCTTCTTACAGCACTCACAGCCTGGATTGTTGACAGAAGCGCCAAACACACAGGGGAATGTAAGACTCGGGGAACATCCACAGTTGCAGCCCCCACATCCTATAGGTGGTCCAAAGCCTCCCTTGCAGTTTGCGCACATGGTACCATCAGCACACCAGTCACATAACCCACCCAGACCGAAACCGTAGCCACCGCAGCCACCGAATCCACCATAGCCACCGTAGCCGCCGAGGCCACCACAGCCGCCACAGCCACCAAAGCCGTAACCACCGCAGCGTTTTCTTCCGCGTTTACCTATTGGAAACAAAAGACACACTTTAAGTTTTTACCTTCTCTCGGTCAAGGTCTGTCAGTTAATGCACAGTTAAGAAACTATTACTTAAACTTATTAATAAGAAGAAAAAAGGAAGAATCAATTAGTTTTATTAAATTCTTAAGTACTCAATCTAGCGATAGAAGTATTAGTTTTTACACTTATGGGCAACATTTTTTGGTGCGTCCCTAGTGTTAAGCTTATTTTGTACGCTACTTAATTAAATCATGTTAAAGAATGAACATGATTACGTTATCAAGTATTGATTAAGTTAAAATTACTTTGCCTTACAAGGTTTACATTACATTATGTTGTTAGCTGCTTATTAGCCAACAATTGTCTTAGAGGCCGGAAGAGTTGTGAATTGACGAAAGGTTAATGACTCGAGATTTGTGAATAATGGTATGGCGAGAAGTAAGCTTTGCATATGATAGATGTAACATCGTCACAAGGCAAATGTTATTGTTTATGGTAAACGTGAAAATGATGTGTGATACCTGATGAATGTGAATTGGACGTCTGTGAAATCGTGCCATTGAGCGTGCTTCCAAATCCATTTCTAACCAACTTACTTCTTTCATGGAGTAAAAGTTATCTGTAGATTAAGCCACCGTCATCACAGACGGAGAAAGGTATATTCCCCACAAAAAAATTATTTTATTTAACCTGAGAAGACCGAGCATTACAAGGGTAATGTCAGTAAGTTAAAAGTGCTGTAAGGGAAGGTGTAGTTTATAACTTTTTATAAGAAAACCACACAGAATACCGATATCATATTAAACTTTTGCTCAATTTATTGACCAGTATTTCAATATTATAACTGAATAGTATGGAAAGTCATCGAAAATATATTTTTTTCTCTAAATTAATAATTTTTTTGTCAACGAAGCGTTCATTGTTCATCATTCGTTCCGCATTGCCTTAGGCGTGCTGATTTGAAGTTGCGTGTTGTCATCTCTCCATATCCGAGGCTCCTTTTCAAGTTACGAGATCTGTTGTGATAAATTGGGAGATATACGTTAGTTTGGGTCATTGTGTTGTGACAAAAAATTATGGTCGAAATGGTGGTGAGGCTATGTAGCGCTTGAACGATTTGAATTCACGTTTAAGTTACAGATATATAGAAATACCTAGTTGATCAGTTTAAAATACTCTTGGAAAAGGCATCATTGGTACACCATTGAAGAATGGGTTGTAGAATGGTGCATAACCGTAATTGTATGGGACTGGCATAAAAGGAGATGGCTGTTCCTCCATTAAGCTGCGTTTCACAGGGCCTCGCTTACCTGAAAACGGGAGCAAAAGAAACAAATTAAGAATGCGTTACCTATTGCAGGGGAACAATTATACTGAGTAATACAATTTTTTTCCGTGGCAAATTTAGCCACACAATTAATAAAAAGAACAGTCTCAATTCAACAGCTTCTTAAAGCAAAGTTGTAGCTTATCCTCTACCTCTCGTAAAGCTTGCAATTAGACACCTGTCTTTTCTGACGAGACGGTTTGCTCTCCGTTTTACGTTTACTTTCCTGGAGAGAACCCTACTTACTTGATCTTCTTAAACAGTGATGTCCACAGGCTGTATGGTGGCTGTGTGGTGATGGACAGTGACACACAGGCTCAGGTTTCAGCGGTTTGAACTCAAATTTAGGTGGTGTGCAGGTACAGCAGCAGGGCCACATGCATGGCCACTTGCACTTTCCAGGAGGGGTCTTTTCTTTACAACATTCACAACCAGGGTTGTTCACGGTGGCGCCAAATTGACAGGGAAACGTGAGACTTGGGCAGCAGCCGGTGTTACATCCTGAGCAAGTGATTGGGGCACCGAATCCTCCTTTGCAGTTGGAGCACATGGTACCACCAGCACACCAGTCGTTTGTTCCACAGGTTCCACAACCACCACATCCACAACTGGGTCCGTAGATGCCTCCGGGTGCTCCGCCGCAACCCCCTCCCATGTAATCACAGCCGCCAGAATCGAAGGCATCTCCACATCCACCGCATCCGCCACATCCGCATCCGCCACATCCGCAGCGTTTTTCTACAGGAATCAGAGTAGTGAAGAATGTGAAAACAAAAACCAACATTTGAGAGTGGAATGAAATAAAATACCGGTGTGTTTACTTTGCATTCATTTAAATATCCTTTAGTTTACTAAAATGTTAAAATAAGTTTTTACTTTTAATGTTAAATAAGTTTTATTGTTGAGTAGCTGTTAAATACTCTCTTCATGCTATCATAATATTGTTTACGGTAAATTTTTGATGAAGGATATTTATTTAGATCTAGTCTGTTTTTTAACTTAACAATTCATTTATTATAGCAATATTCAGATCTACGTACCTTAAATATAAGATTTTAGGCGAAAAACTTTGCATCAAAACTTCATTACCAGATAATTCAACAGATATTTGCATGTTTCAAATTTATTCTTTATTGCAGCTTTGATTGATTTTTAATAGTTTCTAACTACATTATTGTTAATTTATCTATAATTTTAACCCTCTAATTAATCAAAACATTTCACTATTGTCCTAATCTTTGATCGCAATTAATGCAATCCGCTGTGGTATGCTGTATACTTGTCAGGGACATTCTGCAGAGAGAGAAAGACGAGGAAACTTGAAGTACCTGAACGATTTTAACATCCGATAACAAAAAAGTAGACCCTAGATTCTTCGTTTTGATTTACGCACTATTTTCTGGGTAGTTTTGCAAGTGGAATGGAAATAAGTCCTTACACTGTGGTCTGTTTCTTATTCCAAAATAAGCATTATAAACATATGATTAAATCCAAGTTCTCGCGCCCCTCAAAAAACAGCCATAAAATGAGCCCAACTGCAACATGCTGTTTTTTCCTTCAACAAAATTAGTCGTATTTGCATGAAATTGGAGAAAGAAAACTATTTTTCACAAAAAAATAAAAACAATCCGCATCTACCATTGCTGTAAAGCAGACGTTGACTCTGTTTGGAAGGACCAATATTAATATCTAAAGAGCTAGAGAGTCTCCACTGACCTTCCTCAGTAGTAATAGTATAGATACTGTGGCGGGAATGGTGCCCCATAGTAGAGAGGAACCACAGGACTGAAGAAATAAGGAAGCGGTTGAATATCTGTAATGGTTGGTGGAATAAGGCATCGCTTGCTGCAGTGAACTAGAAAAGTAGTTGTGTTAGCACTATTAGCCAATCTGTGAATCACTTTGGTCACATTTTAATATGAGTGATTCTCAACATATTCAGCATATGAACATATTCTTAAATGAGCTATTCCTTAGAAAAAGTGTGAAGTTTAACAGAAAAACAACGACAACGGAATTACAAAATTGTACAATTGCAAAATAACAGAACGTAATTTTTCTGAGGTTTTCAACGAAAATAAATTGTTTAGGAACAGCAAGTGAATGATTTAGTCAAATTATACCTCCACTCTTTCGGCAACAATGACAACAACCGCAGCAACCGTGACAGCAACCATGACAGCAAGTATGGCAATCCTTAGGGACAGCTTTTGGCTTCAAGGGCTTCAACTTAAATTGAGGAACTTTGCACTCGCAGCAGCAGGGCCACATACAGGGCCACTGACAGTAGCCTTTCTTTGGTTTTTTTTTACAGCATTGACAACAAGGATTGTCAACGCATGCACCAAACTCAACCGGGAATGTTATCGATTCGCAACCATGGCCGCAGCATCCACAGCAACCGCCACAGCAATGATGGCAAACATGAGGGCATCCAAAGCCACCGCAACAATTGCAACATCCACAAAAGCCTGAACGTCTTGCTGTTAAGAACGACATAAAATCAGCACGTTACTGGGTTACTTCATTCATACATCTTGTAAAAGCATGCTTAAGACATAAACGCAAGATCAGGCCAGCTTCGTATTAAGAGATGTTTACTGCCTTAACTTTCATGGCAGAATGCAGACATGACTAGAAGAAGGTTTCATGTTGACGAAGCTGCCCTGTCTATGGGTTTGCCAAAGTAAACAATCGAAAATTTTTAAAGGGCAGATCGCAAAAAAAGATACTCACCAGCAATAGTGAAGAGAAGCTGGCGAGTGGTTACCACACTCAGCGTCTTTGATGCAACGAGACTGTGTAAGTACACGCATATCTCTTCCTTCCACCAGTAGATATATTAAAAGAAAAGAAGGCTACGAAACTGCACGCTTCTCATAGTCAGACTGGAAAAGACTCGGGTTGCGGAAGTGCATTTCCTAAACATTGTGCGAATGAATACTGCTTTGACTAAACGTGGGCAGGGCAGCTATCGCCAGCTTTTCTTTAATCTAAGTTATGTGCTTTTATTTGAGCGACTTATCGAAAGGCACAGAAGCTAAAGAATCCGCGATCCTGAGGTGTGTACGGTAAATGCCGAAATTCGAAAAGAATGCCATACTCCACGAAAAATACTAACTGTACAAAAGGTATTTCCCTTTTGCATGTTGTAAAGCCCAAAAAATGTGCGGGTAATCTTTGTTGTTATGCATTTTGTTGCTTTGTAGTAATTGGGATGAATAGTGAAATAAATCTAAACATCCTACAAGAACCCTACAAGATTCTTGATCTCTATAATTACAATTTTAACTAGTAAAGATTTGCATTAACTTTCTTGAAAAACCCCAAGAAAAGAAGATATAGTTTTCTCTAACTGGTCTCAGTTTTTGACAGGAAAATAGGATAAGTTACTAATTTTTCAAATTTGATTGCAACCGTTGGTAATGAGGAATGCAACTGAATGGACTATCGGCTCTCATTCATATTTAGAGAACATCATTAGTTCATATGTTAGTGTATTCGATTGTAATTGAGTAAGCAGTGGAACTGCCATCTAGTTGAGTAAAAAAACAACAAAACAAAAACAGAAACTACTTGGACTGAATGTATCTCTCAGTCCCAATAACTGCTATTTCGTTTTTCAGTGACCGCCCTCCTTTTCTTTTTTTCTTTTTTCAAATGTCTCACCATTCAATGATTTTGTAAGACTTAACTGGACTGGAGACTGGAGTTGCTGATTTTTACTAATTATGAAGAACGGCTATATTTAATATCTCAATTATCAAAGGAGCACTTAAGAGTCGAGGCTCGGATCAATGTGTAATGAGCCTTGAGCCATTACCGTCTCAATCATGAGATTGGGTGATATATACGAATGAGAATGGGAAAAGACATTAACCACCACAAAATTGATTCATTTTATTTACTAGCATGCGAGTTGGTAAGCTCATGCAGGATGATGGAATGATGGGTGATTAAATGTTATTTTTCAAAAATAGTTTCTTCAAGGACACGTTTCTCGCTGGAAACGACTTTTTCTTTCGTAATTGATAATTATTATTTTGCCTCATCGGGGGATATTGCTTTGTTACATTTTTTTTTACATGTAAAAATTATTTCGAGGCTTTCGCTCATTTTAAAAATTGTCCAGACAGAGCATACGTCGAGAAACTACTCCTCACGAGGTGACATTTTGCCAATGATCAAGGGACCTGTAAGATAAAATAAAAGGGGTCAAAGGAAGTAAGTAATAATTATACAAATAGAATAAGTCCAAAAGGGGTTTAACATACAAAAAAGTGTTACGCTGCTTTTTTATGATTTACAACTGAAATTCATCTTTAATTCACAAAGGATGACATTTGTTTTACTTGCTAAACGATATATTAGATATGTTGGGAATATAGTGTAGGGTAGTCTCTTTTTGGTCAAAATTTTAATCACCGTCGAGTATACACAATTCAAGTCAAAAAATAAAAAGCCCTACGGCATTTCCAAAATGAGTTTTCTCCATTCCAAGGCAAATACAAAATGGCTAGAAAAATATTTTACTCGCCTAGTATAATGGAAAGGGGAAGCCACCATTGAATGGACCAAGACCGTGCAAATATCCGCCATATCCGTAGGGGCCATATCCGTAGGGTCCATATCCACCGAAAGGTCCATAACCAAGACCGGCACCAAAATCGCCATATCCATAACCATCATATCCGAAGCCACAACCGCACCGCTTTTTGACATCAGCTCTTTTTACAGGACCTGAATATTTTAAGAAATAATTAGCACTAGTTTCATTTTTCTTTCTTTTTTTAATGATACTGACTTTCCTCTCATTTACAAAATAGTATCAGAAAGCTGACTGAGTTCGATATTTCCAGAATATTTGCTTCTTTTTCGCGAATGAATATAAATAAATTAATCTTCCTTAGAATCCCACTGAAGTCTTATCAGAAGACCTTTGGGATGTTTTAGTTATTTCAGAGAGTTCCTCTCACTGAAACGAAAAGAAAAGAAAGAACGAGACAACAAAAAGCAAAGCCTTGGTTTCTCATTTTACGTCCCCATGGGTGATAGATAACACTATATCATCAGTAAGAAAAAGGTTTTGTCGCCACCTTCCGTGACGTGGAGCTCTTAACTTTAAAAGGTGACACTGCTTGCTCCTCCGCCAATATGAAGTCTAAAGGAGTTACATTCCTTTCAAAAGTAGCTGTTGGAAGATCCACACAAAAAAATAGCAATTTGTCACTGATTTAACGTTACAAACAGAACAAATCAACTCACCTACACTCTTCTTTCCGCCGCAGCATCCATGAGAGTTAGGACAATGACACATTGGCTTGGGCTTGAGCGGCGTGAATTTAAACTTGGGTGGATCGCATTCGCAGCAGCAGGGCCACATGCAAGGCCACTGACATTTTCCCTTCGGTGGTTTTTTCTGACAACATTCACAGCACGGATTGTTTACACATGCACCGAAAGTGACGGGGAAGTTAAGTTGCGGGCAGCAACCGCACCCACAGCTTCCACAAGTTTGGGGGCATTCGAAACCGCCACAGCAGTTACCGCAGCCGCAACCCTCACCTGGTTCACCCCAGGAACCACAACCACACCGTTTTTCTTGAACTATTCATGCAATCGGTATCATGCAACATGCAAAGAACAACATGCAAATACCATAAAGTTAGTTCATGCAATATACCTTTGCTAGGCAAATACGACACTGATTTGACGGGATTCACATTTTTGGGCAGTTTTGTCAGACATAACTATAGATACTGTAATAAGCAATCAAATTAATCACATTACCCCTATTTTCCAATTATTTATGCTAATGTCTAATGTACGGAAAAGATAGACCACGTAACGGACATAATAATTTTCTTTTAATTTCATTGTCATTGAAACTAAAGCATGAGTCCAATCTCTTGGACTGGACTGATTAAAGAGCCGAGCACAGTGATTTTAAGGTTTTTTAACATGATTTTCCATCCATTGTCAGACCTGATCACCTTTACTTTGAAGAAGACCAAACAACGAAAGTTGTTTGCGCCACAATAGCTGAGCTATACGGGAATTTGGAAAGCAAGGATAAGTATAGATGTCTTTTCATCTATTTTGATAAGTAAAAAATGAAGCACAACCTTGAGTTCATCATTTCTGCTCCATGGATACAGGTGGCTGATCACCTGCAACCCTTTCATGCTTCGATAAGCGCAGCGAGAAAAATGTTTTAAAATTTTTTTAAAATGAAAATTATCTGCACTTTATGGTTATCATCAGTGTCGTATTTTGTACTTTTCTTAATCTGGAAAGTAATTCGTGAATTTTAGTCCTTAAGTCTGTAGACAAAACAATCATAAAACACTAAAAAGTCATGAAAAATTAATGATTTTGGCTTCGTGATTAGATATTGTTCTCGAAACTAAAGTTCTGGTCCGCAATCATAGTTTCATTTCTAACCCTTGTTAGAAACTGAAAATGTGAAGGCTAAACCAAGTTGTTTTACTAAAAAGGTAAAACAGAATCTTTTTTACAATAGCTTGTCTTGAACATGAGTTACTGATATTTGAAAGCTATTTCAAATATACTCTACATATAGTTAAAATACATGATCATTAGTTAACGAGGTATTAAAAAATAGGAAATGATGTTACCTTGTGTGCTCTTCACTGCCTTTTTGTCATCATCCACGGAACGCTTTTCGGGTTTGTCCTTCTCTTTGTCTGAATCTTCAATCACAACTCCTTTGATTTTTCCATTACCGCTTCCCTGAAGCACCAAATGCTCGGAATCAAGATCTACATTTTCTTCCCCAGACGAGTCTTGATCGTTCTGTTGATCATTGAGATCAGGTTCCTCTTCTTTGTCGTCTTCCTCTTCTTTATCGTCTTTCTTCTCTTCCTCGTCTTTTTTATCATCATCATCATCCTTACTTTCTTCGTCTTCCTTCTTGTCATCATCATCTTTCTTCTCCTCGTCTTCCTTTTTGTCTTCATCGTCCTTATCGTCTTCGTCGTTTTTGGTTTCATCTTCCTTCTCTTCATCTTCCTTACTTGCTTCTTCATCCTCTTCATCCTTGGCCTTGTCGTCGTCACTGGCCTCTTCAGCTTTCTCCTTAGCCTCCATTACCTCCATAAAATTTTCATTTTCTAACTTGTAAGATGATGCTACAGGAACTGCTGTTGCTTGATAAAGCACCACTAACAACGTGAAAACTACCAAGAGCCAGGTAGTTTTCATCATCTTCCACTTCTGTTTTTCCTAGACCTTTGGCACGGCTTATGGGAGTATCGTAAACAACAACAATGTAACTAACTCTTCTCGCCTCGATCTATTGTCTCATAAACTGCCATAAAATGACTTGAAATTAGGTAAGATTTGAAATATTTACGTCGTGAATTTTGGTTGGCTAGGGTGCTCTATTGTGTGATTACTTATTCTTTAATATTATTGGTTAGCAGGTAAAGGGGCAAATTAGGTAACACCTGATTATGCCAAATCTGGAAACAATTGATGTCAAGCCTCCGGTCGGCTTTTGTAATAATTAATCCGTAGTTTGTGGAAATCAAGATTTGCATTTTTTCCTTAAGTGTGTCATCAAAAGAAAGAACTAGTGAAACATATCTTCCAGCGTCCTCCATAGCATAAAACGCCATTTTTAATTTCAAAATTCCTATTAATTTTTTAGTGCTTTCTTTTCTTGTTAACTCGAGCATTAAATAGCGCACCTGAATGGCTGAATACACCACCTATCGCAAGCGTCAAGCTTGAAGAGATATCTATTTATTGCTTTGTGTTTAAAATTAACCACATGTGACCATTTTGCCACAAATATAAGTCAGTAAAGTTAAAACCACTATTTGATAAAAAATGGGGTATTCTAAGACTGAAAACCTTGTAAGAAATTGTAATTGATCTGTTCACGGCTTATCGTGGCGAGCAAAGAGAGAGGAACTTCCATCTGTGCTATAGATTAAGGGAATGACAATTGAAATTCAGAAGTCTAGCGGAGCCCTGAAACAATATCAAATCTAGCGATACGAACTAATGTGAAAAGTAATAGCGTCATAGGTTAAAAGAATTAAAAGCTGTTTTTGTTTGTAATTTAGTCAATGTACTATCCCCACTTTTCAAGCTAAACAAATAAAAAAGAAATTGAAACACTTCAATGAAAAAATGCCAATTCATCATCGAATAAGCGCTAAATGTGGAACTTTTTGCGAAAAAAATCCAGACTTCATGAAAGTCATCCGAAGTGTAACTGAAAAGTGGAAAAACCTAAACAGTGAATGGTGCCCCTAGTCCTCTTTCTCGTTTCCGCGACTTCCTTGGAAACTCCTGTCTTAACATGTTTGTATATATACTTTCACAGTTATCGGAGGTAGTTGATCGAAAGTTATTTTATAGTACAAGTATAACTTTCCTTAAAAATGGACCGGGGATGTCGCTTAATCGTGGTGTAAGTGTCGCTCTTAAGGATATAGAAGTCGTTCCTTTTTTATCTTACATACTTAGGACACATAAGGAGAAAAAAACGGCGAGAAGTATTGGATGTCTCTCAGCTGATGATTATTGAAAGTATCTTTGTTATAATTTGAGTTTGTGAATTCAATTCTATTGTTATTCATGTCAACAGTAGACAAAATAAGTCCACATATAATATTGACGCGTATAAAAACAGAATGACCAAGTCATATCTTGTGTTCAGCGCTGGTACCTGTAAGAATTAATTGCTGTACCACCACATGCTGTCAACATCCACATCAACCAACCCTTAGAGGCTAATTTCAATTTTTTTCCTCTGCTGCAAAGATATTAAGCGCACAAAGTGGAATAATCAGTATAACATGATTTGAATCTGCTCGGCGAAATAATTTTTAAAAGGCCTGAGTTTCTCCTAGTAATTGCTTTAGTGTATACAAACATTTGGTGATAAACATTTGAAATGTAAGTGTTTGTTTGATGCTTTGAGCGATTTCCAAATTAAGAAAGTTTTAAGAATGGAATGCTCGGTAAAACCTTTTTCACATCGGACACACTGTGCTTAAATTTCTGTATCGGTAGTTAATTGCCAGTGCGTGTGGTTTTGCCAAGAATCGTTAACTATCCGACCTGGCTCCACATTTCGAAAGGAAAATTCCTAGGATTTCGAAAGGAAGTTCGACCCCCCCATGCCCTCCTCTAACTCTGTTGAATTTTGACCTCTGCGTCTAGCAAAATCAAAACCCTATTGTCTCTTTGGTTGTGCAACAGAAGCGATTAAAGAAAAAAAAAAAGAAAAGGAATGACTTAATAAAGAATTCCTAAATAGAATACTTGCAGCTGTCTCGTGACTTTAACCTATGTTTGTTTCTAATTAGTGTAATCTCAAATTCACGATATATCTTAAAGGTGGTTTTGCTATTACCGTATTAGGGGACGAAATCAGTTGCAGAATTTTTGAATGTGAACCTGCGGATAATTGTTACTTAAAATGTATTGTCAGACATATGAGTAAAAATAGACACAAACATCACTACTATGCTAATTGTTTATTTCATGTCGACCCTTCTGTTACACATGATCATATATACAATTTTATGACGATATTGTGGCACTTAAGGAGGTTTGTTTTTTGATATTTTGTTACTAATAATCGGTAGACTTAAATGACCATCTCTTAGTGATGTTGTGGCTTGGAGTGTGCAGCAGCGATCTGCGGATTGACAACAGCAGGCGTCCTCTCTGAGGCATTTGACTTCTTACAGCAACAATGGCAGCAGCAGGGACAGCAGTGGCAGCAGTGGCAGCAGCATGGGCAGCAGCACTCGTGGCAACAGCAACAACATGGTTCGCAGCAGTGGCAGCAACAGCAGCATGGTTCGCAGCAGTGGCAGCAACAGTCGTGGCAGCAACAGTCGTGGCAGCAGTCACAGCAACAGCATTTCTTGGACCCTTTTCCCTTTCTTACCGCTTGACTTCCATCGGCTTGCGCCATTATTGGTGCAACAGCCAAGATACCCGGGTTATCTGACACTTGCGCTGCTACAGTTGAGTGTCCTGTATTTGAACGAGAGTTGCATTTGCAATCACATCGCCTTGTGATGTTTGTCTGAATACTGCCACTTTCTGCATCTTTTTGGTTCTTGCATTTGCAATCCTCTGGCCTGCAATTCTTTATCGTTGCGCTTGAAGAGTCACAGTTACATTTTCCTTTGTCTCTCAGACACTTTTTTGCGTCTCCTTGCGAGCAATCACACTTTCCGTCGATATTTTGTTCCTCTTTTGCTGGAATTTCACAAGTGCATTTATTGGCATCGGCCTCTTTCCTTTCGTCTAAAATAAAAAAAAAAACAGGTTTAACATACGATCAACTTCATGCTAACCAAAGAAACGGTCACAAAGGTTTGACGTTGTTTTATATGGAGAAGAAGTAAGTTGGTCAACCCTCTGGAGGGTATGCAAATCAACAAGGTACTTTCAAAGCAAACCCCGTCGAGGAAAGTAGTGAATGAGATACCAGTAAGTCTCTTGGCGAGTGTTTAAGAGTTCTTGTGTGTCAACACGCTCCGAATTTGACCCAGCATAATATATTAATTACTTTAAAGCCAATGGCTTATTGTAACTTTATTTTCTCATAAATCAGGTTTAAAGTAACTTATCTTCTTATATCTTATCAAAATTCGTTCTTTTTAATTTTATGGAATGTTTTGGGTTGCTTTCTGTGAACAGCCGCACTAATTGTCGTTGGAGTTTGCTTGTTTTCTTATGATCGTGAAAAAAATGATCTGAAACGAAACAATTTCTCTCTCATTTGAGCACCAAAAAAAATCGACGTTGAAACATCAAAATCAGTTCACTACTGCAGCGAATGATTTCTCGATGGATTCGATCCGTCAACAGAAATAAACCCTTGCTATGAAGTTATCCTCGTTCTCACTTCAAACAACAAATCCTTACCGTGATTTGCCTTGATTGATTTTCCTTCCACTAATAAGAAAACACAACTTAACATAGAAAAACAAAGAAACACTGTCGCCTTCATAATGACGCACAAAACAAACCAGAGAAAGAACTCGGTGAGTCCAGTGATTGAAGTGTTGCCTTTATGATGTAATTTACCCTTAAAAATCAATTGAACTGGTGACCTTTTGTTAATTTCGTGATTTGAATACGACCATATATTATATGCGATTTGTTTATGCATCAGAACTTTGTTTGATTTTATGACTTGCATCTTTTTGGCAAAAACGGATAACAGTGATCTTCATTTAGGTCATCAGGCAACTATTTTAAGGAAAGTGAAAGACACTTTAGTTCGTGTTATAACCGGCAAGGGTGTTCCAATTTGCGAAATCATTGAATACATGTCAAATGGTCACTTCCGGGAATGGTGCTTCAACGAACTAATTTAATTTTACCAGAGAAACCAGAAAAGTTGACTTGCACTTTAACTTGAACTATGGCTCAGAGAGACAGCTGGTCATATTTTTGCACCTTTTAACATGCTGATCGAAATGACATGTGTTGTTTTCTTAGTTGCTCATGCAAAAACTGCAAAAAACACCTTACATTTTCCACTGAACTAACAAATGGATTTCACGATTGGTTATCCCTCTCTTTTTTCTGTTTGAATGTGTATTGCAGTGAAAAATCACCTTTCCCTTTATTCTAAAGTTACCAATGTGTGCGCTTGCCGTAACAAAAAGAAAACGCCTTACGCAGAGATCAAATGCTCGTGTCTGCTGCTTCCGTGTTATTGGAAGGATTTTCTTTTTCGGAGTAACATGATAGGCGGGGATGCTGGGAAATATCTTCAGGTATCAACCTGTTAGCACTCATTTGCAGTTTGGGGAAAGCTAGAAGAATGTGGCAGTGGCTTGTCCCGGGATAAGTGCTGGTCTAATGTTTCGAGTAAACAAATGGTTCTCACTCACAGACATTGCAATTGCTTGAATGATTAGCCAAAACAAAAACTAAATAGATCATAGATCATAATTATTATTTTGCTCCTCAATGTCTCTGAAAACCCTTTGGAAAACACTACTAGTTTCAAGTTGTGCCATGCAGAACTAGATAATCGAGTAGAATATATCTGTCCCGTGAGAATTTCAAACTTTAATTGCACAAAGCTTGACAATATTTGGGAACTCGCGAGAAAGTTTCATGCTTCTGCAATATAATAAAAATCTTAGAATTCAATGCGTTGATCGATTCATTTTATTTCACATTCGCATTTCAAACAAACACCATTCAACAATCTCACATCATATCCCTAAATATGGTTACACTTTGCACATATCACATTTAAATAAAAACAGTCAAACTAATTGCTCGCAAAAAACGATGTAAACACTAATATTCATTGTTCTTGACAAAAACGATTCGTCTGAACATCAGAAGAGGTATATATCAGGTGACGCGTCATAAAGTATTTACGCTGCAATGCACTTGGAACCATATGACTCTTTCCGTTCCTGACGGGCTCACGTGATCTTGATGTAGCAAAATCGCTAAAGGCTTTATTTCTCGATAAAGTTCGTTAAGACTCTTATAAGACTTTCCTTTAGTATACCTGTCACCTCAACGGATAGAGGATAAATTTTGTTTCAATTTATATACTGACTTTCAGATCTAATTATTTACCAATTTCCTTACTTCTCTGACATTTTACCATTATGTAACTTCCATTATGAAACAATTTCATCGGCAGCGGACGTCATTTAGCTTATGCCCTGTATGTTGCAGCGATAGGCAGAGGAACACGCAAAACGATGGTCTACAATCAGAATATGTTTTTCAAAATTAGTGACGATAATTTCGATTTAATGATGGATTGGGCGGGAGGCGGCAGCTGCGGCGGCGGCAGCCAATGCAGCGGAATTGAGTTGTTCCTTGGACTTTTTGCAGCAGCAGCAGCATGGACAGTGGCAACAATGATGGCAGCAGTGACAGCAGCATGGCTCACAACAGTGACAGCAGCAGCATGGCTCACAACAGTGGCAGCAACAGCAGCATGGCTCACAGCAATGACAGCAACAATCGTGACAGCAACAGTCGTGGCAGCAGTCATGGCAGCAGTCACAGCAACAGTCATGGCAACAATCACAGCAGCAATCGTGACAACAGTCATGACAACAATCACCGCAACAGCATTTCTTTGTAGAATTGATTTTTTTGCCTATACCAAGCTGAGGCGATATGGCAGATGATAGTTTCACGGCGCCTATTACAGCGGGGTCTGCTGGTCTTGGAATTCCTGCCTTGGCCTCTCCCTCTTTGCATTTACAGTTGCATTTCTTCCCACCTCCAATTGCGGCAACATTTTTGCATTTTTCTGCTTCTGCCTTACAATCACATTTCTTGGGTTGATCTTTGTGTGTACAGTTCTTGGGTTGATCTTTGTGTTCACACTTCTTGTTTTCAGTGCACGTACCGCCACATTTTTCGGGGCACTCTGATTTCTTCGTCTCCTCGGTACATTTCTTTTTAGGTTTTCCACTGCATTCACAAGAATCTTTCACTTTTTGCTCTGCATGACAATAAAATAAGTCAAACTAGTAGCTTAACCTTCATCGAGGACAATCATGCAGAGAGTTATATCAACTTTCCCGATGGCAGTGGAGCGATCAGTACGAAGATAAGGAGAGTGGATGCAAACCATTAGGCTAATAGAGACTCAAATTTGAATCTAGGAGATGAAGTACGAAAAGAGAAGGGCTGTGTATTCAAAACCAGAACATTTTTTTACACAATAGCAGGCCGTGTTCGGGTGAGCTTTTAATCTATTAATGTTAAGTATGCTTCCGTGATTGTTTCCTCACAGCAGTTGCGAACGACTCAGGAATTTGCAAAGACGCATGCTTTCTTAATTTCTCTTGAATTTAACGGGTCGACCAGATTCTATCCTAAGAACAATCATTGCTTCTAATACTTGTGGCAGTTGCTTGTGATCATACTGTACATGTTGTTGTGTTTCCCTTTCTCCGGCAAATATTTTGTTGTGTATTTAAATTGACCTTTATAGAAGACAAATGAGTGTATTCTTATCGCTCCCATTTGCTCTTTGAGTATCTAGGCATAGTAGAATAGATCAGAGAGCTAGAGAGTTCAACTGGAGGAGCAAAGAAAGTCAAGAAAAAAAAATTTGGTGTCATCAGTGTGGGTCGCTTACGACAGAGCCCATTCATTATGAAAAAATTCCATATTATTGGCTATTTGGAATAACATATGAATATGAGTTAATACTTTATCTAGCGTGCAATTTTGAAAAAGAAAGTTTTTGTATCGTTAGTGCCACTGGACCCCTTTCCGAGTGAGAACAGGCAGTTTTCATTCTTTGAGAAATGTACCGTGTGGTTTGACCAAACTGCTTATCTTCTCTAGAGTCGCTTTTTTTTTGTTAGCTCTAGCTATACCATGCTATTATTTTGTTCTTCTTTTAGATTTTCCTTTGATTCCTCAACTAAAAATTCCAAATGCAATCATTACTTCTTATCAACAATATCAAAATGTAAATAAAAGTCATCCCTACCATTATCCTTGTTAATAGACTTTCCTTGCACTAAGGCCAAAAAGCCAAATGCGAGGCATAAAACGGTTATTAGTTTCACGTGCATTTTGCCAGATGAAGAGACAAAAACTGCGAATGAATCTAAAGCAAAAAATACCTCTTGTAGTTATTTGATATCGAAGGAAATGAGAAAGTATTACATCACAAAGAGGCGGCAGTTTGACAAATGGTTCAGAGGACTATGTCATTTTACTACTGGTAAGCTTTCCCCCTTTTTACGCGCTGTTGTAAATCACGCCTACTCTTAGAATTTGATTGGCTAGCAAACGCGATACCTGATAGTTTCTCGAGTACCACCTAACTTACAGCTTTAACTTCTTTTCCGTTGCCAAGCGTATTAACCTTTAACCACGAGTACACTTCTCGGAGGATTGTCGAGGCTTTTGAAAATTGTCTCTGAGATGCTGCTCTTTAGACCATTCTTGTATTTCCTTTTACCGATTTCATGGACATTCCCCCGTCTCCCCGGAACTCTTGGTTTACGTGTCCCGGGTTATATAATAAAAAAAGATAATTGATAAATTAATAAGCGAACTAGTTGTTACAAAAGTACATTTTTTATTGGGTTTTTTCCCCTTCGAAATTGTGGCTAAAAATTAAAAAATGGTGACTTTCCTCGTGGAGAAAAGTATTAACCTGTTATTCTTTAATTAGCGACAAAGCCATCCTCTTGCTCTTCATCTCATTGGTAGAACTTATTTTCTTCTGACGTAGTGGGAGTGATTGAGTTTAAAGTTCTTGGTTAAAGTCGCACAACTTGCTACTCACTTGGGGATGACACAACGATATGAAGATAAAAGTAGACACTGACAGTTTGCTCGCTATCTTTTTTTTGTTGTCGTAAAGCTATGTTTTTAAAGAGAACTTAAATACAAAGCGACCATAAAAAAACGCCACATACTTACATGTAATTATCACTCGGAACATAAGTGTGTAATACTGCTGCACATTTTGAAAACACAAAATCGCAAAAGCCGAGCACATTTATAGCACACTTCAAAGTCAAGATTATAATCTCTTGTCAAAGTGCAATGCAAGTGTACATACATCACAAAGACGTTGAGTTTCCATCATGTCCATTTATTGAAATTTAAGGAGTCCTCATTTTGACTGGATGATAGTTTTATTGCTTTTCTTTCCGAAATTCAGGCGAAAGACGTCATTTACCCTTGCAGAACATTAAAATACGTCAACAAAGCAAAATTTGTCCCCCCCACCCCCATTGACGGCTTTATTTTTACATTCAAGCTATCGATTCGTTTGAGATGACGAAATAAAAAAAGGACGTCACTTGAAATAACTAAAACCCTTCGTGACGTACATAGAGAACAATATATGGGCGCACGTAAATATGGAATTTCTCTTCAAGCGTTTAACTCGATAGCTCACGTATCATTTTATTTATCATATAAACAAAGTAGCCCTTTACTGACAGGAAAAGTCGACTTTATTAATGAATGAAAATGAAAGGATCGACACTCCGAATAAAAATCTTAAGCGCGTTGGCGCACTTCAGATGAAACATGCGTTGAATCACAACAAAAACAAACAACGGGCCTAGTTTTCAATATACAAAATTCTTAGTCATTGAATTGGTCCCTACCGACAAAAAAATATAAATAAAAATAAAAATCTTTCAGGTACACAGCCAAAATCGGCCTGTGGCAAATCTATTAGTCGTTGACTTTCGTTCTCAGCCGCGAGAAATACCATTACCAAAGCCACTGAATACGTAACTCCCGGTTCTACTTTTTTTATTTTGGTTTTCTTTCCCAGGAAAGTTTGAACGTCACTGTCTGTAAACGATACAGACTCTTCAGTATTTCAGCAGCCATAATCCGAAAAAAATCCGACAAACGACCATGAATTGAGAATGGTAAGGCTTTGCTGTTCATTCATTGACCTGACCGAGTCAGGTCAATGAAGGTCCTATTTTTTCACGTGTGTTGTTACGGCTTTTCTCAGGGCTGGAAATCCTTGTATAACACTGTAGTTTATGTAATAAAAACCTTTATCTGCATTAAATGTGCCGTGATGCATTAAATTTAATATTTAAAAAGAAGCTCAGGGCTTTAGGTCTTGTTAAAACAAAGACTAAAATAAAGAGGATGTGGGGTATATTTATATTTAAAGCTAAAACCTGACCTTGTCCTCCACAAATCTCAAGTGATATCAAAAATGTGTCGCTTCCAAATGTGGAGTGCGGCATTTCGACAACACATTGCTTTTCGTCTTTAGGCAATGAGGCAAACAGACCACATGTCCTTTACGAAGCTTTATGGATAGCTGTAATTGGATGGTTTCTAACAACTGTGATCGGTGCATCTCCATCACCACTGAACTGTTTCTTTAGTGGCCACCGTCGCACGGCGACCCCTTGTGTTTTTTTTTTTTTTTTTTTTTTTTTTTTTTCATCGTCCCTGTTGATGGCCTTTAAGAGTAGAAATGATTGCTTCAGACTGTGAGACAGTATATCAGTGAGCGAAACTAACTGCAAATGATTAATCAAGAAAATCGATTGAGAAGCTTTGAAACTTAAAGGAAATGTTTTATAGCTCTCACAAACTTCACAGCTTCAAGTACAATATTAACGTTCTGTTTTCAGATTACGATTACCAATAAAAGTATTGGAAAATATCGTTTTCTTTCAGTTCTTACTAAAAGGGTTGGAGCCGACCACACGTGATTATCCATCCGTATTTCTGTTATAATATAACGATTTGTCTCAACTGGTAAGCTCCGTAGAAGCGTGGTTACCTGAAATGTGTCTCTAGCCACTCTTGAAGAACATAAAAACACGAAAACCTGGCATCGCGTCATTCTAATCACTAGCCAGTGTCCTTATAATGACTATACTAGTCATTAGGTATGTGCAGTAGTACTTACTCAAATCGCCTCTTAACGGAACAGAGATTTTATTGTCTCACATCATCAATTAAGAGAGGATCATTCCCTAATTCTAAATATACGTAAGCTTACCTCGAATAGTGAATGATTCCAGACTTCTGTACTTTCCCAACCAAGACTTCTACCTTCCGGATCTATATCTGTGTAGATAACCGATTACCTCTAAGATCTTGAATTGATGTAAAATAATCACATCAATTCTTAATAGAAATAGAAATTGGTATGTTACGATATTTTTGCATATGGATACGCAAAGTAAAAGTTCGCTATAGCAAAGACAATGTAAAGGTGCTAAAAATCAGTGATGAAAGAGTTTAACGCGGTTTGAGAATCAGGAACTTTAGCTCTTTCTTGAAAGAGATAAATTAGACTGGAGTAACAGTCACATTAAAATCATGAAAAGGAGATCTGAATGTGTGAAACTTTTTGTGTAAATAAGTGCAGGTGCAAACCCTCAAGCGACACCTCCACACGTTGTACCTCAACACTGAGAAATTTGTCTTAACGGGTGTGGGACGAAAGCGACTGATCATAAGACACGCGTTGGATTAAGAACAAACTACAGACTTGAAGAACATGAATTCATCAGTGGCTCTGACTTTATTCTTTTTCTCAGTTACCTTTGGACATACCATGGGCGTTTTCCGTGTACCGGAGAGCCTACACACCAAACGTAAAGGATTTGATGTGACAGAAAACAGTAGAGGTATCCAGTTAGGGTCGGGAAATACTTCATCAGGTTTGAGGTAACATTTGACTTGATGTAGTTTAGTTTGATTATGATACCGTCAGTATCCTTTACGAGATATGTACATCGCGCCTCACGGTTTCTACCAGCTATCTAACTCCCGGTGCTTGTGACAGCTTACTCAATTGCGTAGTTTTGAGAACGTAATTTTAAAACATTGAAGAGGGTAAGCGTATCTGATTACCTGACATAAATCAGCCTCCTCTTACACATCTCTTTAGCTGATCTAATGCTTTGTTTAGCTATGATAGGTTCCGAACGATAACGAAGTTTGACTGATTAAGATGAGACTGAGAGCCGCTCTTTGTGCGGTTCTCTTCAGATTTTGACTTTCAACAAAGGGTGTTACAAAGTCCGTTTGCTCTTCGGTACGTGTCATTTTGTATACCCGGAACTGAACCGTAATGATGACCTAAACAAATACACCGAGCTAGAAGTATTCCTTTTGTAACGTTAACCGATAATTTCCAGAAAATGCATTTAACAAAAGCAGTTCCTACACTGTAGTACAGTCAGAGAAATATTCTTTGCTTTTTCATTTTTAGGAATATCCTTCCTCGGAGGTCAAAACTTTTTGGAATGAACTTGGTAAAAGCTTATGCTAGTCCACAGTGGACGTATGGTTATCCCTGGCCATGGCAGCATAAAGACCAAGCTCAAGAGTCCAGGCTGCGAAAGGCCCCACGTCCTAAACCGAAAAATCATGGCTAGTGGCTAGGAATTTACTATCGTTAGGAGACAAAAGAAGCTGTATCATCTGGTGCCTCTCATCACATGAAACGTTACTCTCCATACATAATGTAATCATTATAATCACATCACGAAAGATGAGACTTACTTTTAATGAAACATAACTTTCTTTATTAGCCTCGTATATTCCTAAAAACGGAAACACGTGTGATACACGTCATTGTCTGTTGAACTCAGTAAATGTTTTTAGGCACTTTTTATCAGGTTTCTCTGAAATCCCTTGTTACACAATTTGCTTTTTATTTTTTCGCAAACGCGTCGGTTCGGTGATAAAGCATAGACCGATAAACATTCTGAAGTGCCGATATTCTCGTAGCCGTTTTATTGATTTTTTACATGTAATTTATCAACTTGTGCCCTCAAAAGGACCATTTCACTATGCCAGCGAGCTCAATCCACATGGGGGAGAAAATGTACGATGGTTGATCTCATATTATCACGTCGAGTCGATAATTAGATATGTGCCAAGTTCGGGTAGTTTAGGGCTCAATTAACATGCTTCTGCATCATATTAGTAGAACGGTGCATCTTGAGGAACGCGACGATGTAAACCTGAAGGTAACCATGCACGAATAACTAAACCTACTGCTCATACCATTCTAATTATCAACCATCAAAATGCTGTTATCGAGCCATCTACCGGCTTAGTGAACACGTAAAGGCCCATGTTGTAACAGCGAC